GGTACTCTACAATAGACAAGTACAAATACCGCATGATATTTGTACTCGTCTATGGCATTATTTGTACTCGTCTTAGTGTAGTTGGATAATAAATGCGGTTACACTGTCGCTTACTCATTTAGTATCAGAGTTCAAAGTTGCGACCAGCTGGTTGCCAATGCAACTGGAAGTTGACTGTTGGCAACCAAAATTTAGTGTTAGTCAATAGTAGGTGGCTAACTTGAAGTCTTGACAATGTTTTAAGTGTAAACCAAATCTTAAAAAATTAGTATTCCGTCATTTCTTTGTTTCACTCCTGTACACTTGTCAGGGCCCAGATGTTCAAAAGGTCCATACCTCTAACCAAAGCATAAGTTGCTCTCCAGCAGAAAAGTGTTAACAAAACATGCTGCTCTATCCACTGGATAAAGATTTATCTCTTGAATAGCATTACTGGTATCCACCCTTTGAACAACTGGGGCCTGGTGATTTTTCATGAGTAGGAATATATTTTAAGTAAAGCAGCATCTCTGTAACTCTGTTTTGTATTTCACTGCAAGGTAAAAATTTTACAAATCAGCATTTTTCCAACCCAGAATATAATCACACTTGCCTGGTATCAGGCAGGCACAGGTTTAAATCCTGTGTAAGTCTGAATTCTGTTTTTGGCTTTTCTTTGCAGTTTGCATTGATTATTTTAGTCACCATTCATCCATTGTTTGATTGCAATTTATTTCACCTTTTCTTATCCAAACTATAGAATCACAAACACACTTATGAAAGATTTTATAATCAAATGTGACGGACCAAGCAAATTGTTTCTTGTAATATTTCGTTTGTAACACCAGGTCCAGTCGCTCAGATAAAAAGTTTGATACAACTGTTGGTCACATAGAAGATATAATTATGGGTAAGTTCTGAAAGTTAATCCGGGCTTGACACTAATTAACTTTTCAACTTATTAGCCAAGTGGCTGGTGGCATTATAGATGTTACGACAATTTCACTTTGTTTACTATCCAAACTGCCTAGTGGAAATCGAAAACCACTAGCCAAACCTGAATTTCTACTAGTGTGTGGCTACTGGGCTACCGTTAGTGTCAAGCCCTAGATAATGAGTATGTAGGGTAGTCTAATTAGGGTGGGAGGGTTGCAAGCTATGAAAAGTAAGGCCTTGGAGCAGATTACTTAATATGAAGGGGATTTAAGGAAATAATGCTGACTGCTGCTTAAAAACTTGCATCGGAAGATTCTAGAATAAGCTTCTAACTCATGAACCATAAAAATATCTCTTTATGGAAGGAGACTGTAGTATTCATGTTTATCATTTCCGACAGTGAAAGGGTTTACCCTGATCTTGTGATGTCTGTCCACAAGCAAGCTCCTTGTACCCTTTTCACTCAAAAGGATGGCCAATGGGTAATCCTCCTTGCAAGATCAAGCAATACATGTACACAATGTCAAGTAGACATGAGAATGACACTTTAGAGAAATATAAAATTGGAGAAATTGTTTAGTTCAATGCTAAATTCTCAGATCTAATAGTCAGGAGGAAACTGAGAGAAAGGATCAACGATGGATTCATTCCTGGCTTCACATGTATGTATTTGTTTTTGTTTTTTTTTTTTTTGCAGAGGAAAAATTTCAGTCAATGCAGCATGACTTCAAAGAGAAGTACTACCAACACTTTACAGATGAAGAAGAAAACAAGCTTATATACATGGATATATTCAAGGAATATGTGAGTAGTCTGGTGTAGGTCTTGACTCTTCAAGGCTAAAGGAAAGCTAGCTGTTGTATGTAAGAACTATGTTGACATAATAATTAGAGAGGCCAACAGTAGCCAACTAGCCACAGACTAGTAGAAATTCAGTTTTGGCTAGTGATTTTTTATTTCCACTAGTCCAGGCTAGTAAGTTGAAGAGTTGGTGTTGAGCTCTGGAGGCTGGTGTTTATTGAATGGCATTCAACTCTACTATTGGCCATGTATTCAACTCTTCCACTCCCAAGATCTCATTAGTAATTCTCCCCGCTGTCTGTCATACAATCCTTATGATGTAGTAGCCTAACTGATATTTTTGTTTATTCTCCTCACTTGTCTACTTAACATTGTATTGATATTGTAAGGAGAAATTCTGTCTTGGTCACTCATGGGTGTTTAAGGGTTAAATTGTCTTTTTTATTGTGGCTGAGGGACTAAACTTTTTGTTTTGGGAATTTGTTTCATCTCTGTTTTGTTGTTGTTGTTGTTGTTGTTGTTGTTCTGAGTTTGTCATTCCAGAAACACACCCTCCCTACCCTCTCCATCCATAAAAATTAAATGGTTAATCCCATGGACTTTTCTAGTAGTGCACATTACCATCATATTGTAGTTTCTGTATTTTTGTTTACTTGTTTGTATCTCAGGTTTCCCTAGTGGAAAATTACATCGAAGAAGAGCTTAAAAAAAGAATATCAGGTTTCTCCATGGAAGAGTTTTCAAAGTCTCTAGAGTAAGTTGTCAACCTCAGTTTAATCTAAGTACATATCAAGAACAATTTTCATTGAGTGGAAGAGGGATTTCATTTTAGAAGAAGACACATGCATGTTCAGAAAAAGAAATGTAGACATGGTGCTTTTTTTCATAAGTAAAAATGAAATCAACTGAGAGCATAACAGGATCTTTTTATCTCATGCACACTGATTTGTTTTCTTGCTCTACTTGCAGAAGCCGCCAGGACCAAATTGGAGGAGACATTTTTGAAATGCTAATGAGCTTTACAGACTTCTTGACCTTCAAAGAAATGTTCTTAGAATATAAATCCGTGAGTGTCTTGTATACCATGCTGTTAACCAGTCTGTCTACATATGTTATTCTCACTGATAACAGACACTTACGTTATTCTGACAATAGAGAGGCACTTGTTGCAGAACAACGTAAGAGCTTAACCCTTAATTAAACTCCTATGAGTGACCGAGACAAAATTTCTCCAGATTACAGTGTCAAGACAGTATCAAGCAGGCAAGTGGTGAAAAATATCAATTAGGCAATTATCAGTGGATCCAATGCTAAATTCCCCAAACCAACATCATGAGAATCGTAAAGCAGACAAGTAAGGAGAATTCATAATAAAATCATGGGAGTGAAAGCACTAAAAATGTGAATGTCAAAGAAATTTTCATAAATTATGCAATGATGGCGATGATGATAATGATGATGACTGTTATTATTTTTATGACAAGGAATATAATTATCAAATACGTGTCTTTGTTTTTATTGTATTTCTAAAACTAATAGGTCTGGTTTTCTTTTTAGGAAAAAGAAGGAACAGGAATGGACTTTAGTGATTTGTTAACCATCACATCAAGTGGCACATCACCATCAGATGAACACCACAGAATGCAGGTTGATCCTGAGTCACCAAGAGAAGGACCCTCCTCAAGCAGATAGTGTTTACAAAAAAAGGTCTCAACTTTGAAAGATTTTGAGCTCTATCGACTCCTTTTGAACTTTGTGTGTTTGGAATAAAACCATACAGATCTTTGTAGATAGGAAACACATTCCTGAGAGCACTGAGAGTTCTTTCTTGCTCTGTGATGTACTCCTCTTTTTTACTTTTCATAATCATAGTATGACTAAATAAGCAAGTAGATTTTTGCATGTTAGACAACTGATCTCAAAGTGTACATGGATAATACTTATCACACAGCTGGCTCTGAGAGTGAGAGACATGAAGCAAGTCCTGTATTCTATTCAGCTGCATATGGGTACAAGTTTTTCTGCCTGGGATTGCTCACTTTAATAATCACACAGCAAAAAAGATAAAACGTACCGGTAGTTGGTTTACATACAGAAATGTGCAAGTTCAAAGTAACTTATTACACTATTCGGAAAAGTGTTCTGCCCAGTTCTGCGGGCAAGAGAGTCCGTGTATTTCTTTAGACAAATGTCAAACAAAGAAAATTACAACATGTTAAGGGCTTCTGGTTTTGTGAATTCATTTGGCAATTTTTTCGGTGTAGTCTATATGCCATAATTATAGTAATCCTTTATTGATCAAGCTCATTTGGTTAAGATAGCTGGATAAGCACACAATTCGTGGTAAATATCCAGCTATGTTTACCTCAGTCAATGAATCACATTTACACCGTTACAACTTGTTATATATGATTGTTGTGGGGAATTGCTAAGAGAAACAATATCAATATCTGAGCACAAAGTAGAAAAAATGAAAAATAGTTGATCCCACTCAATTTATTTTGAACCTTTTTCGTTCTCTAGTGCACATTAAATGTGCCCTTAATGTTTTTTTCCGACAACGTTGTCTTGGATTTGTTTGGTAATGGGACCTGAATTAAATTTTACGTGTTCGTTTCATCAAGGAGTTTGAAATCGTCGTCCAAAGCTACAGATGCAACAATGTGCACTAAATTGGGAAGACTTGAAACACCCAAACCTCCACAACTTTTTTGGTTTTCGTTGTTATCAGCATCTCCAGCTCATGTCTCATGTTACTTTGTAACTGTTACAAGAAAATAGTATTTAATGTATTGGAGATAGAGAGGCAAAGGAATCATTTGTTGTAATTATTGTAATAAAGTGTTTAATTTAAGCTTTCTGTTCTTGTTGATCAGTTAATTGAAAATCTTTCAAAATTACACTTCAAAACTTTTCCCATCAGTGGAATGGACTGTAGGTCCTAATTGTTCAAATAATTTTTCGGATGAGTAAACAATACTGGTAGGACAACTATCTCCCCAGAGTCCTGTACAATGGCCACTACTGAACCTATTCAGGGTTTCCCGAGTAAAATTTATTTACTCTTGTAAATGGACGACAATAGCGAAGCAGCGATGTTATTCGCCACTGTGCCAGGATCGTTAATAATCGCACCACTTTCACTGTCCGATTCTGAACCTGAATCTGGGTCAAACTGCATTATGAAGCCAGTGTCGTCCGGTGAATTTTCTGCCGGCGTCTCAGGTTCCTTGCGCAGCATTCGTATTACCTTCCGAAGGGTTGTTTTGATAGATACTGCCACGAAGTTTCCAAAGTGTTTGTCTGCCTGTCGGAGGACCCTGTGCCCTGGCAGGAAGTACGATTCCACTTGAGAGGGCCGTTTCTGGCTTAGAAGGAGTGCTGTAGATTCTAAAACGGAGCAAATCCGCTCAACTAGCTTGCCTTCTTGCCACATCTCTGGGTCCTGGCAGCGTTCTAGTTCTTCAAAGAACTTCATCTTGAGGACGTAAGTATGAAGGTAGCCAAAATGAGAGAAAGATTGCGATCTTACACTTCTTAGTGACGTCTGTCCTTTGATTATTTTCAGGGCTGTGTAACAAGCTGCTTGGATTGTAGTTGTGTTCTGTAGAATCTGTAGTTCGGCAACGGAAAAGGACAATCTCCACAACAACGAATCTCCTCCTTCTGACTTGGGAACAATGTGATACCCCACTTCGTCACAACCTCTCAGGACATGGGATGGGGGTACTTTAGCTGACTTTGGCCACCCGGGAAAGCCTATTGCTGGAGTGATGTCAATATCAATAGGCATAAATTTGTAGACATTCCCTTGCCAAAGTAAAGTCATCTTCAAGCCAGCCTTGCTCGTGGCAATAACCGGTTGACATAACATGCACAAATCATAGCTTGTCGTGTTAAAGCTCAAATTCCATCGTTTCCGAGCAAAGGCTTTCGAACCAGACTTCATGTACAAGTTTTCCACCATAAAAGATTTGATTTTTGAGGCGTCAAGAAATCCTCCTTCGGATAGGAACATCCTCCATTCGTCTCTGTAGTCCTCTTTAACTCGGACACGAACAAACCCAGGATCGCTAGTCACAAGAATTTCACATTTTTCTTCCGTTAGGGATTTCAGTTCACACATATAATCGAATTCATCGGGTTTTCCGATTCTGTAGCCTTCAAACGCACTTCCAGTGCGTAAAATTTCACAAGTGAACCTCCCATCGTCCTCAGCACCAAGCTTCAAAAGGTCTTCGACAAAATCCACGGTCTGTTTAGCAATTTTGCATCTCTCGTGGCATGTTCCCTCGTCTTCCAAGTGGAAGCCTCTGACGCGATACTCTTGACAAAGATTCATTAAATACTCGTTGACGTTAGTGTTGGCGTCAATTCTCAATTCAGGTATTTCAGAGTCGTCGCAGTTATCATCAAAATCAGTTTCATTTCCCAATTCAAAATGCCTGTCACAGTCTCTAACACCTTCGCCATCCACAGTGTTTTCTTCCTTCTTCATTTCAGGGGTATCGGTTTCGTTACCTGTAACTCGTTCATGTCGGCGGACTTCTGTGGTATCTGACTGGTCATCACTATTGGCAACCATAACCCCATCACTTTGGTCAATAAGCAAGCGAGCCAGCGCGTTGAACTGAAACATAACAGCCAGGTCATATTCTGAGGCTCCATCAGCATTTACCCGCGTTTTATAGAAGCCCTGCTCGCTTATCAAAGTTTGCGCGACCCGTATCAGAGCATCCTCATCGGCTTTTGGCATTATCGCGCAATGTAACAACGTGTTTCCGTGACGGTTGATCAGCTCCGCATGCGAAACGTGCGGATTCATCAGGCAGCTTAGTACTTCAAAATTACCATGGTAAGCTGCAACATGAGCTGGCGTGTTTCTGTCGCTGTCTACGCGGTGAATATCAGCACCAAGGTTAAGAAGAATCTGCGCTGTCTCTTCCAAGCCAAACGCAGCGGCTTGGTGAAGTACAGTCCTTCCCTTGTGGTCCGCCATGTCTAGACGGATGCCATATTCGTGCAGTAAGAGGATTGTCTCGAGGACGATCTTGGAATACTTTTTTACGATAACTTTGGCCAAATTAACATGGTCGAAGAAGAGATGAAGAGCGTTTTTCCCCAAGTGATCGGGAATATTAGGATTGACACCTGCATCCAGTAAGATTTTCATGGTTTCGTGCCGATTTCGGACAACAGCTTCCTTATCGAGATTCAAACTTTCTGGTAACTTGACAGCCTCGTGAAGAGCCGTTCTGCGAGACGAACTGTGGCATTCGACGGCATCTTGTAAATATTCGTCTATTAGCTTTGCCACTAACCATGGTTGGTGGCAATTAGCAGCAAACGATAAACAATTCCACTCAAATGACGCAGGTATTGATGACTCTAGTGTATAAGGCTTGGTAGAAAACATTAGAGATCCTCTTCCGATGAGATCAAGATTCTTCAGATCTGAAGAAGCTACGAAAAAGCTCTTTCTTGGATCTGCACCATTTTCAAGTAACTTTAATGCAATGTCCATCCTGTCATGACAAATTGCATCATGAATTGGTGTCCAACCACGTGCGTCAAGTGAGTTGACGTTACACCCATGTGTCAGCAGACAGTCGATGACTTGAAGATGCCCAGATTTACTCGCCTCATGGAGAGGTGTCCGCCGAGTCGATCTCTCAACTCCAGAATCAGAACATAGGTCGGGATTTGCACCTTTTTGAAGTAAAGAGCTCACCATGCTTGTCCGACCCAGCTTTGAACTCAGGGTAAGAGGAGTATTCCACTCACCACGACCAGGCAGAAGGGGTTCGGAAAAGGCACTCCAGTTGAGACCAATATTGAGTTCTTCCAAAGCTTCTAAAGCCATGGTAAAACCTTCTGAGTTGTCCAGCGATATAGAGTGAAGCAACATTGTCTTGACTGTTCTAATCACTTCTTCGGTACTGATTTCTTCGCTCGAATATTTCCCCTCAGTGGAGTCCATTCTGCCAGCAGAATTACTCTTCAAAAGTAATCTTCCTAGAGAGAAAATCTTGACTTCAGATTATGCAGGGCAAGATGACATCAAACTTAAATATTTTCTAGACAATTTTCCCACAAATTCTGTCAACTGTTGAAGTACAAATAGACCAAAAGAGATATCTTAGCAGTTTAATGACCGGCAACATTTTGTCAGTTCTAATGCACACGTGTGGCTGAGGTGAAATGGGGGTGAAGGGGAATAAAGTGATAGCTTCACCATGGAATTGTAGAGTTTAAAGACCTTCCTCACTTTTTAGAAAATATTTTTTCCTGCTTTTTCTGTTGTATTGCCGCCAGCTACATACTGATGCCTGATAAAAAGCTGTAACATTCTATTGCTGGGCAAAACATGTCAATTTTTTTTTCTTTTTTAATTCTGTCGTACAAATATGACCCTGCTATATGTGTTTTAACATTTTAAAACATATGACTTCATACACGATAGGTCATCCGTATCCCAACCCCATTAGACGATGGGGTTGGGATATGGCATCCAGTGAAGTAATGAAAACCGTGAATTGGTCAACAATTAGATTAAGTTACAAACTGGAAATATTTAAATCAATGTACAACGCATACAAAAACATATTACCTGACAATTTATGTGGAAATATTTTTAGTAAACGAGACAACAATTACTCACCGAGAGGGCATGAGGTAGCAGATATCCGCAGACGCAAAAGCAGATTTATGAAAGATTCATTAGCCTATCGAGGGCCTATATTATGGAATCTGGTGAAATTCAATGAAAAAAATAACTAATTAATGTAAGCTTCAAGGAATTAATGAAACGGCTTACTGTCAGGGATTATTTCAAAGATTTTATCTTTGACGGCACAGCAATCTCCACGTCGAGACAGAGTCAGCGACTATGTTTACTTTTCAGTTCTTACGTTTTTTAGTTAGTTTTTATTAAACATTTACATGTATATATTTTGTGACGTAGTTAGTATACACGACCCCACAAGCTTGGGAGCTTTAAACCTTATCGTGTGTAAATAAAGGTTTTATGTTATGTTATGGTTTGTTCGCGACATTCGCAAACTTTGCGGCAAAAGGGATTGAATCAACGTTTTCTGAAGTTTTCCATTTAATCATGTACTTACCAATTATTCAACAGACTACATTTCTCCCAAAATAAAAGACATGAGAGCATTCATTTCCACGGAGCTTTATAGGGCCGCTTTTGTTCGGTTACTTCCGCTTCTTTGGACAGTGCTCAGTTGTGAACAGCGGATATTCTACCATAAAGGCGTGTGTTTGTGTTAGACACAATGAAGTATCCCATTATAGTAATGGCGCTGTCCCTTTCTGTCGTTAATTACTGGCGTTACCTTAAATTCATTTGATTTAGCAATAACTGGGGTATGTTATGTTTGTCATGAGGTGTTTTCTGCAAGGGGTTTATATTTATCCTCTACCGGAGGAAGGTCCGTATCCATGAAAGTCCAGTAAAAGGACGTCGCGAAAAAAGTAAGATAATTTTCCTTACCAAAGCTAGACCTGTTGCTTAAGGTCTACGATCTATCTCATTCAAAGTTTTGGTGTGTAGTATCGCTGAGTATTTTTACGAGGTTGCGCTATATTTGGACGAGCCCGTAGGGTGAGTCAGAAAACAAACCACATACATATATACATAGGTTAATTGACCACTCCCCATAGGGGCTTTTAAGGGCCAACACCCACCCATCCCACCCAGGGGAGGACATCCACCGCACAGTAATCTCGTGCGTGAGAAATTAACGTCTCCTACCCCTAACCCTGCAGGAGACGGGGCCTACGGTTTATTCGTCCTTATCCGAGAAGACTAGAATATCTATCCATTTCTTGATTATAGAAAGGTAGTAAATTCTCCTTTCTTATTTTAAGACCATGAGTATTGTCCGAGACCATGAGTATTAGTCCGGGACTATGAGTATTGGTGAAGATAATCAACGATGCTACACACCAGGTGTAAAAAGTTATTTATTATCAATTGCTCTATTATATATTATGTACAAAATCAATAACTGTCCAAATATCGCGTGTTCTAACCCACCTACGCGCGATTCTATTGGCTACTTTACGTCACGTGATGCAAAATCACAGGATAGTTCTCACGCAATAATTCCCGTTTAGCTCGAAATTTGTTCTCCGATTATTTCTGTCGAAAAGAAACAGTACTAGCGGAAAAAAGCCAGCTCGAAAGAGTTTCACTTACTTTACATGGAAGAAGAACGAACTCGTTTTGTAGAGTACAGTGAAAGCGACATCAAAAAAGCTGATCTTAAATGCTGCTCTGCAAAGTACAAAAAAGTCAACAAAATTTGCTGCCAACGCACGGTATGAAAATTAGTAGAAGGGTTAAAAAATAAATAAACCCCTTCTGGCTTGCTGGCATGTCGGCTGATAATGTCCTTGGTTGAGAGGTTGTCCGAAAAAATTCACTTCTGCCCTCGAAGCTTCGCTACTCGGCCAAATATTCATTTTTTGGACAATCTCTCAGCCACGGACACCATCAGTCGACACACCAGTCTCCTGAAAGGGTTTATTTATTAAATATATATACTCAATTTGCGCGTTATTTCTACTCTACTTTACCACTTAATGCAGTTAGATAACAAAATGTAGAAATCAGATATAAACTTTGGACGTAGAATCAGGAAGGAATTTCGCCGCAGAATATACCATAACGATTTCAAGCTCAATTACAGCAAAAAAAATGCGGTTATTTCCTGGTGAATCACGAACTCGAACACTTCCCTAACTTTTTAACTAGTGCTAAGTGTTCTACAGTAAAATATGCAACAACGACAAAAAAATTATATTGTTTAAATAGCAACGTAGGAAAGATTATGCAAGAATAGGTTAAAGTGGAAACAGAATTTTAAAAAAATGTAGCAAATCATTAACAAATTGAAGCTGTATGTCTTAATCCATTAACCTCCTCCATTTAGCGAATCACATCCAGAGGACGAAGTTATCGAGGGCTCATTACAACCAGAAAACAACAGGAATAGGTAAAAAGTCAGCGTTTATCGCAAAAATACATACCCTCTACATCAATATCTGCAAATTTAACATTCATAAGAAAGCAATTGTCGGTTAGCAAAGACTTAATTTTGCGTTGCATTTTACGCGAAAATGGAAATAAATTTTAATCTGCGCCATCAGTTGCCATCTGTCCATTTAAATGGTGCATTTATCCAATTGTTTGCTATCCACTTGGAACCTTCCAGAACATCACATCCTCCGTGCAAAGAACGCATGTCATGTTCTCCAAGCAAACCAGTCACATTACTGATCAAGTGATTGTACCACATTACAGCTTTGCCTCTCGCAGGACGAACAACCACATTGGCGTCCTAACAGTGGATGCTCAAATTTGTCCGGTCTTCCTTTTCAATTTCCTATACACAATTTCAAGTATTAAGTAGAACATAACCCTAGTGGTAAGAAAAATCAAGTTGACACGGTGGGTTCTAAATTAAACGCGCAAAATTTGGGCGCTGCTCGTTCGCTCCTCCTGCCCTCAATATTCACGCAACTTTCGCTCAGTCGCTAATTCCTTTCATGCACGTTAAGTGGCCTTAGGAAAAAAAAAACAGATTTTGCACGGCTTAGCTGGTTACTTTTTCAAGCAGCTCCCATAACAGCTCCCAGTTGGTTCGACAACCAAGTTGATCAGAGTGCTGCACCGGTATCGGTGGACGGTTATTATTCTGGGGGGGGGGGTGGAGAAGGACTTCATTTTTCAAAAATACCTTAGACATCTGACATCTCTTTATCTGAGGTGATTATTCTTTCAAATATAATTATTTTTGCAATTTAAAGATGGTTTCTTGAAGGGAAATCCTAGTAACTACTAGGATTGGTTAAGTCACCTTGCACTTCAATTACTCAACACCTAAATTTTTCTGAATGCTTCTCATACCGTTTGGTTGATATGTTCTTCTTCAGCAACTGGGAAGGCTGTTTCTCCACCATCTGTTACATCATTAAGGTAATACAATACTGTCATAAACCTGAGACAGAAGGAAAATAGGTCTGATGAGAAGCACATGTTGCTACTGCCACTCTATGGGGCAACATATGTTCAACTAATATCTCAAAAAAAGGTAATTTTAAAAAGGTCTCTCGCACAAAGTAAAAAGTACTACTACTCATTTGCAATAAAGCAAGAGGTTTTATAGTGTTGAACCATGAGGTGCATAAAAAATCAAGGACATCTGAAAAATTATGTAGGACTGGTTAGATGCGGTTCATAACGTAGACTTACTAACCTACACAAGCTGCAGTGATCGGAGTAATTCCCCAAACAACATCGTGAAGCCTGACCATTCCATTCATTTGTAGAGTCATAATGCGCGTGATAGTGACCATGAACACCATACTGGACAACCTGAGCAAAAAAGGTAAACAACCCTTTGTTAATAAGCAAGGCACAGGCATGATACATACTTTGCTAAATTGTCACTTCACAGATCTTGTGTATAAATAGTAACCTTTGTCAATGAATAAGTTGATAGCTGATTGATACATCAATTAATGCATCAATATCAATCAGTGGATCAGTTGAAAGTCCATCGGTTGTCAAAAGATGGTCTGCTGATTAGTTGGTGTCTCCCTTAAGAGGTGACATCAGCAGAATATTGAGATGGGGATATTGAGACATTGGTCCACCATTGGTGTAATACTGGCCCATTATTGATCAACTATTAAACAACTAGCCATTGACTTTCCATCAACTACCAATTTAGAACTAAAGTATCAACAAAGAGTACATATTTTACCTGTAAGTCTTCACTGTTTTCAATAAAATATTTCGGTAGTTTTGTCAACAGTTTAACTCTGCAAAAGGGAAAAGGTGAATCAGGGAGCTTCTTACTAAGCGAAGTCTGTAATAACATTAATCTATAGTTACAAACTAGATCTGCTTACAAATTGTTTAATAACTTGGTCCATGTAACAAATTGTTTTCACTTTTTTAAACTGTTAAATTTCCATGAAGGTTGACTCCATTGAAAAAATGATTATTCCTAAAAGTCGAGGCAAGAATATTTTTAATAGAGTGAATGGGTAGAACATTTTTCATGCCTTTGTTGTAAGTCTCTTAACACTACATCAGTGCTGCCTGTGACACTCAGCCAAGTCTGCTTACTGAGTCTTGTCCGTTCTCGTGGATGATTGTCTTCCAAGTATCTCATGTACTGGTCAAATGCAACATGATTGCCCTCAAGACATTCTTTTTCACTGATCAAACCTTGAAAGATAAAGCCTGCATATGAGACCGACTTACCTACCCATTCAAATTTCCAGTTACCAAAGCATAAAGCCACTCAAAGCACTGCCATTTCTCCTAGTTGGGGAGTCAAACCATTGCTAATTACCAGTAAACCTCCCCCTTTTCCTGGGTGGTGATTTATGTAAGGGCCATGGATTTTGGATGATAACATGACTCAATGGCTCAACCAAGGCTTAATAAAGAATTCCAAAAACAAAGGATAATACCGGTAATGTTTTCTGAATCATGCCTAACTTTGCACAGCCACATGATGCACCCTGGAAGACCAGCCAAGTCTCATCACAATGGCTCATAATGTCTATGCATCACCATAATGGATAGCATGATTAAGTTATGAGTGAATGTCCAAGCTTGCTCTTTCTATTACGATACTGTGTCCTGTCATGTATTCTTTAAAATGCACTTTCTTGAGGTTTCAAAGCAAAGAACCTTTCAAGGCTTTCTGGAAATTTCATCATCAACAACTTGAGCAAATACCATGGGCCACATGAAAATGTGTTCACATGTTTCATTTGTATGGCAATAAGCAGACCAAAATATAATAAACTGAGCTTACCATCCCTGTCTTTATCAAAGTTTACTTTTTGTAACCTGATATTAAAGAAAAAGTTCCAAAGTTAGGACTTTCATTGAAGGGATATAACCTTAGAAGCCTGTTTAAGGCATTGAATTTGAAGGGAAAAGCACAAAGGCAGTCCAAGCACGAAGATAATTTAAGAGGGAACTGAACACATGAATTTACATCGTTTCCACATCAGCATCACTTATTGACATTGCAAAATCCTGTTTTATGAAGGCAGCAAACTGAAAAGTGACACCATGTTACTTATCAAAAAGAATTAATCTATTTATCCACATTATTTTCAGTTGGTACTATTCCTGATCAGTAATTATTCAATCACGGTCCAGACTTTGGCTGATAAAAATATGACTTCTAACTAGTAATTTTGAAATAGTGTAAATTCTCATCAGACAGGTGATTAAATTTAAAACAATATACAAACAAATAAAGAGATATAGATTCTTTTGACATCACACAGAGTTTCACAAAACAAGTCAACGGAGGAATTTATAGTCATCATTTAGGAGTATTAGCTTTGAGATCTAATGGAAGGCAGCGTGGTCGAGTGGTCAGCGTGTTGGACTTGTGATCCAGGGCTCCCGGGTTCAAGTCATGCCCTGGCCACTACCTGGATTTGTTTCATGGTAGCCCCGAGTTTCAAATCCTTGGCCATGCTTGCAATGTAATATAGCCAACTGGTTTACCTTCGGCCAGTTGGGATTCTTAATAATGTTATTTTCAATTTGAATCATTTGTTTCAGTTGCTTGGTGGAAAACCTGTAAACTAGCTTCTAGCTAAGTGTTTCTCCACATTAAAAACTGTTTATTTTTTTTTATATCATTATCTAAGAAGTGAAATGGTTAATTCTTTTCTCTGATTATGACATACCTCAAGTGTGGAAATCTTGCCATCACTACCTCTGTCATTGGAAAGTAAATTCTTACAATGCTCAACCTTTTCCTCATCACTGTAAGCTAAAAGGCCAGTTTAGTTTAGTTTAATTCATTTGCCATGGGAATGGCAGGAGGAAGGAACACAACTTTTGTCCCAATTGACACCTAACTCCTTTGTACCCACCCATCCCACCCCAGGGGAAGACATCCATCACACAGTAATCTCATGCGTGGGAAATTAATGTCTCCTAACCCCCAACCCAGCAGGAGACGGGACCTCCATTTATTCATCCCTATCCGAGAAGACTAGAATATCCAACCAAAATTCTTCTCAATTATTTCTTAAGACTTTGAGTGTTAGTCTGGCAGGGGCTCGAACCCTCGACCTCCCGCACAACAGTCCAGTGCTCTATCCATTGAGCTAACCGGGAGGCGGTTTAGTAAGAATTAAAGAAGCAAACTTATCAGATAATCTGGTTTTGTGCCTACACTTGAATTGAATGAACTTTATTTATCATCGATAACAGAGAGAGTGGTCACCCAATCTCCCGAGCCAAGGGCTCATGTATAGAACGCTCGACTAAAGGAAATACAAATTAAATAATAGATGAATATCATATATGAGATATTGAAGTTCATTAAACTATATACAATAAAAGTTGATATAAAAGTTCAAAAAAAAAGAAAAAAAGCTACAAGATACAGCTCTGACATTGACATGCTTTATACTCTACATTTTTGATTAATGATTTGAAATGCTGGACTTGCAATGCAGTTAAAATCCTCTCTATGATGACAGGTAACAAATGAGATTTTGTATTGAATTATCCAGTGCAAGTCCTATTTATAGCTATAGAGTTGCTCACAAAGGAATGATAGAACTGATAGCACTTCTGTTCATGCAGGAGCATAAAACTGATTTCAGTGAATTGAAAGGATGTCAAGGTATATTTCTAGGGTAGAGTCGTTTTATGATTTTTCTGTTTACTAAGCAACAAGCTGATCCATTCTCAATAATCTTGAATTTCATAATGCATAACTAGAAGGAGTGGGTTGTTACTCCTGATTATAGATTTGGGTGAAGACAAGTCTTTTCTTGTCAGCTAACGAAGTGGTCAAATAGTCTTACCAATGTCATCGTCAGGATCAGGTAATGTAGTACTTTCATGAAGGCCCTTTTTGCCAGCAAGTTTGATTATGTGTTCACATTCCTCCTTGCTTAAAAAGTCTGGTATTTCTGGAAAGGCAAACAACAATATTAATATCAAAAGGGTACACCTCAAGAGAACTCATCAGGGCACAAGGTTGCGAATTGTAGTACTTTCATAAAAGCCCTGTTTGCAAGCAAGTTTGATTTAATTATGTATTCACATTCCTCTGTGTTTAGAAGTCTGATATTTCTAGAAAGGCAAACAACAATAATGATGTCAAAAGGGTACACCCCATGAGAAATCATCAAGGCAGAAGGTTGAAAATTGGCCTTTAGAATAAAACAAACCTAACTTGCCAGTAGGGAGCCAAAAGGGGATGCAGTTGATTTTTGGGAAAAATGCATAGAGTAATTGAAGCTGTGGTCTAATTAAAAAAACCTTGCTTAGATGTTATTAGATGTTAAGTAACTTCAACTGTTAATTGCAACATTTTAACTGTTGTAACATTTTTGCCAGTCTTCATCAAAAGACGAGATCAAGCCACTGAAAGTTCCGTCAGTGAAAAAGCCTGTCTGATGTTTCATTATGATTGGCTTTGATTCACTCAGCTGCAGCCACTGGTGCATTTTGAACCTCTACGTTTTATTACACACATTTGTTACAAATCGTTGCTTTAATAATTGGTGATAAGATAGCAATCATGTGCTCATCACTTACCTTGAATAGATATATCTTATTAGACATTTTGTTGTGTAGTATCGCTGAGTATTTTTATGAGTCATGTCGTATTTTGACGAGCCCACAGGGCAAGTAAAAATACAAACAACGAGTTGTTGTCTTGTGCATTATTTGTACTCTACAAAGCATATTTGGATAATAATAGTCTTTATTACACGACTCGGGCAGTCAGAGGGCCAATAACTAATATCAACCAATCAAAATGCTCTATTGCCGGTCCAATATTCTCTAAGTATTGGACCGGGCACTGTCCCGAATGGTCCCGAATGATACCGCACTTGTCTCCCTTTGAACTTCAGTCGTATAATAAATCTCTTATTAACCAAGCTTGCTCGGGACCTTACTGGAAGAATATCGGCCCTCAGTCTTTTTTGTACGGACCTCGCTGCGCTCGGTCCGTACTGTCAAGACCTCGGGCCAATATTCTCCCAGTACGGCCCTCATGCTTGGTTAATAAGACATATTTATCAATATGAATCTAGACACCGATATCTGAGAAGTCTGGATTGGATACTGGCAGTTTATATATTAGTCCTTTCCTTTAGATTGAGTAATTTGTTCAGCATGGAAGTCTTAAGAATTTCAAAATTACTTCTGATCAGTACATTACTGCTTCGGTATCTCTATAAGTGTTATTATTATACATTCTTTTACATCATACCTACAGACAATAGATTTTACATAATGTAGAAGTGATGTCATACCTACAGACAATAGTTTTATGCGCTCTTGTCTTTACTAGTGCAGTTCTGGAATATGCATAATAAAACAATTATTGGATTTGGTTTTTGCATGATGGTGATAATTATCAAGGCCTCAGTTTGTGTTATCTGCCTCAGCCTTCAGCTTTGGCAGATAACACTAACTTTGGCCTTGATAATTATCACTATCATGCTCAAACTCACCCAATAATTGCTAATTAGCAATCAAGCAAGCGAGCAAGCAACACGCTTCATTCTAACTTCTTAGAAAGTTTAAGTTTCCCTCCCACCCACAACATTTACCAAAAAGAAGAGGCCTGAGGCTTCTAGTTATCATTTGGTGTATTTTTCCTTCCATCAGTTTTACCTCCTGAACATGTCCTACCTGTTACAGATTCAAGAAGAAAAAGAAGAAGAAGAAATCATGTTTTAAACTGATCATCCCAAAACTATAGTTGCAGAACGAAGTTAGCAAATATGTTGCTGTCTGTAAAATAAATCTTTCAGCTCTGATAATTTACTGTTAAATTAAGCAGTATCTCCCGATTGATATAAGCCTGCTCCCTAGCATACAGCTATATGGCTAAGTTAAGAAGTATCCTTCCACCTTGAAATAGATATTACGTGAACAAATTAAACTTGAAGTATTTTCTTGAATGCATGAGAGGAAGATTTAGGTGATATTTCTCATTCCCGCCTTCAAAATCAAATCCATGTATAAAGCAGATAAATATATTTCTCAGTTATCTACATTTTCTCTCAATCAAAACTCAAATCTTCATTTCACCTTAATACCATCCAGCATAAAAAGTTTTGGATGTGCACCATCTACTTCCGCCATGTTGCAATCTTGATTTTTCGCAGAACAGGTCTTAGAGGTAAGAGATACCACGAAGAAATCATCACGGAAGATAATTTGGGAAAATATGGTTAAAACAAACAGCAGTGATCGCAACATCTCTGCTGGTCAAACAAAGAAAATCAAAATCAATTGGAACCATCATCTCAACAAGTTTAAACGCGTGAACCCGTTTCCATCTCTACCGATTTTCTGGGAGACGAGACTGGGAACCAATAGATCGATGGTCCACTTAGTCTTTCCTCTGGTAAGCGCGATAAGCGCCCACCCCCCGGCAATTATTCGACGTAAAGTTTATCTTGTGATCAAGAGACAGTTTATTATCTCTTAATACGACAGTTTTCTTTGAAATCTAAATACAAAGTCAGGCAGACAGATAACCAGAGCCTAGAAATCTCTAATAAAAAGAAAAAAAGAAACCAGAAAAATGGTACTTGTCTTTATTTCAGCAGATACCGTATGCAAAGGCCGGACATACGCGTGATTTTATTTGTAAGTAAAAACAGAAAGCGAAGAGCGGCGTGAAGGAAGAAATGATAACAAAAAGCTGCATGTTTGCCATCACTTTTGGGCCGCAATTAAAGATTTTTCCAGTAGACTGAAATAACCCCCTCAATTTTATCTAACAAAAAAATGAACACCCGAATGCTGAAAACTCTCTAGGCTTGCTCCACATTGAATGAAGACAAACGACTTATGTATACCTCTGACCTGGAGAATTGTTTTAGTTGGTGATCATCTACTTTATTCTCGTGACCTTCGTATGTAATTTGTGGGGGGAGGGGGAGGTGTGATAGACACACTCACCGAATCGAAATCCTACCTGTAACTGCTTGGCCGTGAAAGCTCTGGGTTCGAAACTGGGGGTGATATTGTAAAGGGAACTCAGTTGCTGATCACTGATGGGATCAAAGGTTGAAAAGGAAGCATTAGATTTTGATTAATACTCAAACAATAAAAAAATATTTCGAAGAAATTTTTAATTTCTATTTCTTTTATTTTCATATAATGGTTTACTTTAAACCGGTGATCGTTTGGTAAACTCAACAAAAAACATAATTCGCAAAAAAAAAAAAAAAAAAAAGACATGTTCCTTGCAATTAATTGATTGCTACATCAGCTGCGTGAAGGGTGGATTCATTTAGCACGCTCACTCACAGACCGATAAGTTTACCAAGGGCGCAGTTCGTTGTTATTTTGGATACACAAGGGTTAAAGTGGAATTATCCCGTTTTTTCGATTGAAAGAAGATGACTTCTCCTCGAGTCATCAGCCTATCAGTACTGAATGGTCTTCTTAGTGTGTTCGGGACTGTATTGAACACTACCGTGGTTTTCGTGATCTTTAAGAACAAAGATCTACGAAAGGGACTAAACCTGTTTATTTTAAGCCTATCATTGGCAGATCTTCTCAGCAACGTCGTAGCTCAGCCAATTTACATCTACCTTCTCGCGCACGAAACGGAAACTGATCGTTACAAATTGAAGGCGTTTCACTTTCTCACTTTTGTCAGTCTTCACGCTTCGACCAACAACCTGGTCGCCATAACGCTGTATCGCTTGAGGGCGCTCTCTCGCCTTTTCAGACATATCATTCTCATATCTAGAAAGCAAACTTGGTGCGCTATCGTTACCGTTTGGTCAGCAGCCGTTATTATGGCGATTGTTTTTGATATCGAACCAGGAAGATCCGCAGCACCGTATATCCATCTTGTCGTCATTCTGGCGTGGCTTGGAAGTTATGCAGGGATATACGGGCTTGTGCGCCAACACAAGCATAGAATTTCTTTTAAAGAAGGAATGCCTTCATGTCCTTTTATGATGGCGAATTTGAAATACGAGAGTGAGGCAGCCAAAACCTCGGCTATTCTAGTGGGCACATCTGTTATCTGTTTCTTTCCCGATGTAGTGTATGAACTGCTCGAAAGAGCCGAAGAAACCAGATTGCAATGGTCTTACACTTTGCTTTTCGCCAACGCTTTGATAAATCCGTGTGTTTTTGTTTGTAGAAGTCAGCAGTTTAGGAGAGCGTTTCGCAAAACTTGCAGATGTGTGTGAAAAGGGCCATGGGGATCGATAACTTTTATTGACAAGAAAATCTTTTATTTCCTAGAAGATAAGGTCAGTGCACGCAAAGGGACAAAACAAAGTTTAAAAAAATTACTTTGTGCTTCATTAACTAATCGCACATTGGTTGTCGCGTATATCTGCAGATCTAACTTGGAGTCTCAGAATACACAGTAAAAACAAGGCAGAATGTAGCTTTATTGGCAAAAAAAAAGGTAATTTTGAGCACAAATTTCTGATTCTTAATAGTTACGATAAAATAAAAGGTCGAAGGAAAACCGATGTAATATCACTGTTTCTTGTGTAGGAATATATTCTAAACTACAAGTTGATAACCATTCAAAAATCGCGAGGAAGCATGGTCAAAATAAAACAGACGCGGATAAAATTGTCAGTCATGTGGTACTTAATTATGAAAGTCTTGGTGAACACCTAGTTAACATGTAAGCCAAGCCGCCTACTTTTAAGCCTATGTAAGAAATTTTACTTTAAACAAAATTCAGTTTACCTACGGTGAAGGATTTGCAACATTACGTGCTAAAATGATCCCTTTGATTGTAAGAGTCTCCGACATTTGAACAGCAAACTGTCATGATTTCAAATACACGCGACAATAACATTAATTTAAATTCTTCTTGTGTAAATATTCAGCTACCTGCTATCGTCACTTTAAATTAAATGCAAAGAGTTCACGCACTGAATGAAACAAGCTGAGAGCACCTTTTGTTAAAATCCCAAAATAGGAAAAATTGTGAGTTGACACGGCACAATGCACACTTAAGGTGCCCCTCTTTCAGTATCTTAGATAAAATAAAAAAAAAAAAAGGACAAAAAAACTGGTCGTCAAATCAAGGTAGATTGAAATGCGTTTACTGATATGTCACCTTAGCTAGTTTTTAGCGCAATCGCTGATTGCCACAGTTGAATAATTTAGAGTCCCTGTTCGTTTCCCATCATGTGATTGGTTTATTTTGGTATATTTGAACCCCGCACTGTAAAAGTCATTAATACTACAGTTTTCAAATGTGAGTCAGTAGCTATGAACACCTCAATGTTTCATTCTAAGCTGATCGAACTCGTAAGGATAGCATAACTATGATATCACGGTGGCTTAGTAATTTCCACATTGAAAAATGTAAAAGTAACTGCCACTAATGCACACTTTTTAAATGTGGCTATGGGTTGTGAAAACGTTTTTGTAAGAATAAAAATAGGAACTTCTGCTTATCTGCAGAGACCACTTAGCCGGGAGACCTGCGCGCTAGTTTTGTTAAGAGCCTTAAACCCGACTAGATGCCGCTGTTTCGAGAAAGGTTGTCAAAAACAAAAAGCGTAAAGTGCGTGCGATAATCTCGAAAGGTATTGTCGGTAGTTTTCAAGTCAATGATTTCTGGGAAGCCTGAGAAAAGTCACTGTAAGGACGAGGCATCGTAGGTTTGATGAATTTATTTAATCTTTTTATCTATCCCAATTCATTGATTACCAGATACCCAGATTACCTTTCGAGATTGTCTCGTGCACTCTTGTCCTTTTTTCTCGAAACAGCTGTATACTCCAGGGTATACTTGGTTTCGAAATTTCCCAGTCCAGCTCTAAAAAAATATTACGTAAGTAAGATACAATGTATATCTGAAGTTCATATATTTTGAAAAAAATACATGAACTTCATATATACATTGTTTCTGATTTATCATCACGGGTTTATTACGAATCAACTTAACGGCCTGTTCCCAGTTGGCTTGTTAGCTAAATTGGTAGAGCGCTGCACTAGTATCGCAGAGGTCAGTGGTTCGAATCCCATACAGGCCTGATTTTTTTCAGGTCTGATTTTCGCTATTGCATAAATAGCGCTCTCTACTGCGAGGCTCGTGCATCATACGTATTACTTTAGTAATTCAGTCAAAAAAAGACTTAGTCCCTAGGAGTCCCCTCCCTTTTTGGCTGCGCAAAATCTGGAAAGGAGTGTGTCTATGGGCGACGTCACGACACATAATAGAACCAGAGTTAAACCGAGAAGATTTAAATTCCAAACAAGAGATGTAGAGAATGAGAAAGACGGTAAGCTTTGAGCTCGGTAAAGAAATATAGTGAGATCTTTTTCGTCTTGTCACGCGCGCGTCGATAGCGTCATGCTATATCACGTCATGACGCTATCGACATTGCTGATTCTAGCCGCAGTAGGCGTGTCACGTATGAACTTCGGAATGGGCCTTGCTCAACATAAAGTCTCTGTGGTTCAGTGGTAGAGCATCAGAGCGCGTAATCCGAAGGTCTGATGATCGATTCCTCATGCGGAAACAGAATTTTTTTCTTTGTCCTACGCTCGTGACAAGACGAAAAACATCTTTCTAAGAGATGTAGAATATGGAAGTGCAACCAGATTCTTGAATGCTTAGCATACCCTAACAAAGTTAAGAGTTGCATATTTCGAACCATACGGCTGTTCAATTACTGTTAGCCAGGCAAATTGAAATTAGTGCAAAGGAGTGTCAATCACTTCCTCTCAACCAATCAGATACAAGACCATTATCATGCGTTCACTGTCCTCAGTGGCTCCCTGAAATGTATAATACGACTTGATTGGCCATTGTGATTACTTTCATTTGCGTTTTAGAACACGTAAACGTAAGCGCCTTAATGGGTCGTTTTATCTAATTTTTTTTTTTGTTTTGATTGTCTTCTGCCGCTTTTTGCGACTTCGTAAGCAAATTTTCAGTGCACGGGAAGAACAAACTTTTTAAAGCTAACAAATCCCCAGATATCCTTAGAACGCTGCGTAAAGAGGGTACAATTGATCAGAAATACATCATCTCTTTAATATAATAGTTCTATCTAATATCAATTACGCATAATCTGTTTACGCCGCGTCCGAGTCCGATCTTACACCTGTACAATGTTTCTTAGACCGCTGTTTTAAAGGAAATACACGTCTAAGCCTGTAAGTATTAATGATCTCGTAGAGAGGCAAGACCGTAAAATTTTTTAAAAACTTTCTAATGCTAAAGGACATCCACTTTTACCCGTTATGCCTCGTGTTAAACCGTCCAGTCACAATCTTAGGAAAGGAACTTGTTCTAAGCCTAAGATTAACACTATACATTTTAAAAATTCCTTTATTTACCTTTTAGTTTTAAAATATGAATTACTTATGTAATATACTAGATTTTTAATTCTTACTTTTTGCCTTTTCAAAATTTCTTATAGGTATTTGTAACAAAAGTTATGTATTTTTATCTTTTAGGGAATAAAGACTTTATTATTATTAATTTGAACGTTCGGGCAGCCAATCAGAACACAGGATTCGCTTCATCTAGCCCGTGTGTGCTGCTAGCTAAGTAGTAATGATAATTCATTACACCACTCGCAGCGCCCGTGAGCAAGATGAAGCGAATCCTATGTTCTGATTGGCTACCCGAGCGGGCGAGACGAGCCCATCTTGCCCGCGCAGGATTGCCCGCATTGATCCCGTGCAAGAAAAAATAGAATTAGAACTACGTTCGTAATTCTTGGACAATTTCGACGATGGAAACGCAAAAAGCGGCAGAAGATAGTCAAAACAAAGAAAATAGAAATGATTCTCGTGAGTTTGTTGTGCTACAAATACAGTTGGTTTATTCCCGGCTCTCAAAGTAAACAACTCATTCTAATTCTCATTAAAGCGAAATCTTTTGTAATATAATATAAATCCTTTATAAACCAAGCTTGTTCGGTCAAGATGGCTAGATATTAGCCTCGTTCTTTTTTCGCATTTTTATGGACCTCGACTTCGTCTCGGTCCATAAAAATGCAAAAAACCAAGTCGGCCAATCATTATCCAGCCATCTTGACCTCACTTTTGATTAATAACGCATATACATCACATCTAATCTTAATGAACAGTCAAATATCTGAGAGCGGTGTAGACTAATTATGATTAAGTTGCTAAGTCTTTGAATCTTCATGGGGTATTCGATAGAAGAGAGCGAAATCTTACACTGTAATTTATGATAAGTTTCTTTTTGGAACAATCAGTTTCAGTTAAGCTTTAATTGTTATACAGTAGACACTGTATAACTTTAGCAACAGCTCTAGTGAGTGCCAATGTCTCGTTTCTTGTCTTCGGCAAAACAAACCGGTTTCAGCAGACTCAATTTTATTAAGTAGGTCTCCAAACCTTTTGATTGAGTAGTTTAATTTTCAAATAATTCAGGCGACTAGAAAAGCGGCGAAAGAACGCAGATGTTTATCTCCGTGAAGGCTGATACCTTTTTGATTAAACGTTCTAACAAAAACAAAAAGAAATTGTGCTATTTAAAAATGTCCAGAACAGATATATTACAAAGTATCACATGAATGGAGTGACTTAACACAAAACTGCCACGCTGTCTTAAATTCAGCGGCTGCACCATACAGTAGATTGTTTAACGAGCCTTGTTGAATAGTTATCTATAATTAATATACAATTCCCCTCTCTTTTTTCTTTAGAAATCGAAGGTCGATTTTCTGGGACTAAAAGCAATACTGCGTCGAAAATGAGGTATTCTGGCACGGGTTGAAATATCTCAACACCTAGGGTTTTCTTTTTCTTTCTTCTTCTTCGTTGATTATCCCCAAACACTTGTGGAGGTCAGTCTTTGCTCTGCGACCCGTTTAATTTTAGGGAAACGAAGATAAAAGGAGCAACTGACTCCATAAACCAGCCAAATGGATGTCTTTCATGATGTACATGCGACTAAAAGTTTGCCTGCATAAGCGACTCGACTCGAGCTGCAGACAGATGATGGTTATTTCTTAAAGCTCATAACTTTTATATTCTTTACGTAGAGAGAAGCGACCGCTTCTAAAAGCGATTTTTGTCGTTGCCATATGCTTTCAGATTCTTTTGAAACAGAAACCATTACAAGTCATCGGTTTGTTGAGGGAAAAACGACTTAAAAACGTTTTTTAGAATCTATTGTTTTCATACCAGTGTTTACATAGAATATTTTAGGTGACTTGATGTGCTCTTCGCATTTTGTACAAATTAGTAACGGGTGTGAAATTCTACTTTATATTTAAGAAATCATCCTTTTCGAGAACAGTTCGCTCAAGTGAAATGAAGTTTAGTTCCTCTTTCCAAAAATTTCTAAACCAGCTAAATCGTTCGATTAATCTCTAATTCCAACTGTTTGAGTAACAAAGAAGTAAAGATCGGTTTTCGATTTTCTTTTTTTTAAACCAAATATTTCACACAAGGATGACTTAGTAGATACTTCACCGCAACCGAAAAAAACTACCTTGAAGGCCTTTCCTTCGTTACTTAATGCCTTTTTTTTCCTAGGAAACTTATCATGGATAAGTTCGACAGTCACGAGCAAAGCGTTACTAAACTCACAGCATCGACTTGTTTTCAAGGACTATTTGATGAAAGCTTTACAAACGGCACACTCCAGTCTATCATTCCATAAAACCTCGCCACTGCCGAACGTCCCGCAACATCTTGGTAAGTACAGCCTGAAACTGTTGGCTACGCCAGATGATTAAGCATGGGTTTAAGGATGAGCTCATAAACAAAATGGTAAATCCCCAAGACTTTCTGCTCTCGTCTGCACGTCCCATAAAATCCAACACAATATCCGGGAAGAAACAGATCAACGAGGAAGCCACCAAAATGGCCGAGGTTTTGACGGATTCGCTCTCATATTCGAGACTAGCAGTTTGTAACTGTGTAGTGGGAGAGCCTTCCAATGAAACAATTCTTGCTCTGTGCCTTTTCACCAAACAGAAAAGGCCGACGTAGCCAGCAATCCACGCTAATGTCATTGCCAAATGAAAATACGCCGCGACAAGTTTGCCACTGTCCGTGGCGAGAAAACACACCCACCATTACCGACATTACCCAAACCAGGGTGACTGCGATCGCAACTTGCTGCTTCGACAGAAAAAGATACGAAAAAGGGCGGGAAAGTGCTCTCATTCGGTGGATTGTCATGGCCAGTAGATTCATGGTGGAAGCGTGCAGAGTGATAGAAGCGACCATCGTAAAAGCTTTTATAAACGTCGTGCTTGTCTCACTAAAGTTTAGAACAGCGTGCACTTATATCGGTTGCGAAATCGCACAGTTCATGAAATCTGCTACACAAAGGTTTAAGATCAGAAGATTTAGCCCTTTTTGCAGGTTTCGATCGCTAACGATGACAAAAGCAACCACTAAATTCATGATACTTCCAAACGCACTGAATAATGAATTGACAACCGCAAGTACAATAAGTTTTGCTTCTACCATCTTTCATAACAAAACTTAAAAAGTCCCCTTTGCCTTAAAATCATGTGGTTAAAATTAATCTCGATAATATGAGATGTTGTCGTCTTGAAGCCGCTGGAAAGGGTTACAAGTCATTATCACAGTCATAACTGACAATACGGAAAATTCCTAACTGCAGTTTTTATAAATATTTCATTAGTCATAAGGTGAAAAATATCTAAATTCAGTTTTTATTATTCACAGGAACATCAGCATGCTTACCTTCTCTGTAGTTAGAAAATCTGGCATTGAATGTGGTAAGAAAAAAAAATTTATGATACCGATCTTCAAATTAGAGTTTGGCACTTGCTAAATTCTTTTAATCTCAGGGGAAAAGACGTAAATTATAATTATTTTTTACTTTTCCTCTGGGTTGGCGTACTCAGATGCAAAATGTTTGTCATATATGCCGTCTCCAGGTGACACACTGTCACCAGCAAAACAAATAACCTTTACTGCATGTCGTTTCCACTGGTTGGGTAAATTCAAATAAGCTCGAAAAAATTAGCAGCTGCATGCGATTACAGGAAAAATGTATTTGCTATCGGCTTATCTACTTCAACCCACGATAATACATTCAATCCCTTCTTGTCAAGATATGTAAGCAGTCCTTTAGTAAACCGCGCATTAAAACTGTCGTAATTTTTTTTCTCGGTAAGATAAAAGAAAATTGATTGACAGATTAACATCTTTGGTGCCTTTTTGTGAATGTTCGAATTTAGTGTACTGCAAAAAGGCAGCGGGTAACACAATTTGCTTTTATTGAAGGAAATTACCCACTTGACGAATTATAAGTAGTTCGTTTTCGACTCTTAAGTGTTGCGAAGGCAATTTAATTAATTAGGATATATCAACAAAGTTGAAATGGTAAATTGGCCACCGTAACGATTACAAAAGCTGACGTTTCGAGCGTTAGCCCTTCGTCGGAGCGAATAGAGGAATTGTGGGTTGTGTGTGCTTTTAAAGGCAGAATAACGTAGCTCCATTTTCTGCCTTTAAAAGCACACACAACCCACAATTCCTCTATTCGCTCCGACGAGGGGCTAACGCTCGAAACGTCAGCTTTTGTAATCGTTACGGTGGCCAATTTACCATTTCAACTTTGTTGATATATCCGAATTATTTCGTTACCCCCACCGACGCAGCCCCAAACAGTTTCTTTAGAAACTAACAGCCTTAATTTAATTAACTGCCGTCATAAAAATGTTCATTACGCTTTTTGCAGAATTGTCTGTTTGTTTTTGGCAAAATTCTAATTAAAAAGTTGAGGTACAAGGCGATCTTTGTGCCTTAATTCCTTTTAATTCTTTTCTTTAATCATTTTCTTTGTACCCTTGTCTATTAACATTTCCATTGACCTGAATCGCTGCGTTACCTAACAACTCCATTAGATGAAATGAAGGACTTCACCTTCTTTCAGCGAGTCAGTTCCCAGTCCCTGTTGCTCGAAGACGGAGGAAGATTGGATGGCGATAAGATTGAAATTCGAGAAAGACCCGTTAACGAAACAAAAACTAAAATAATGAAATCGGCATAATTCAAACAGTGTAGTAAAACGGATGAATTACATGAAGCCAAAGACATTCTATAGAAAAACCGTGCAACCTTAATTTGAATACAGGTATTATTAAAAACTGGATCATCGGATAATGCAATTCAAGACGTTTTATTCGCTTAGCTATTATAGTATATGAGCCAATATACCATAATCTAATATCTGTACATTGTAACATCCGGTTTCTTCTTACAAAATAAAGTAGAGAAGATTTGCCTAATATTTTGGAGGCGTTTTTTTTTTTTTTAATAAAACAATTATTCCACTCGCGCTTGATATGAGATGATTATAGCCAACTTGGCGCTACGCACCTCGTTGGCTATCAATCATCTCAAATCCAACGCGGGCTCATAGAATAATTGTTAAATAAACTACTGTTCGATCGAGTGTTGTTGAACAAAAACCAACATTATCACAAACAACAATCAGAAAGAAGAAAATACCTTTGAGAGCCAATGATTGAAAACTGCTTTCAAGTCAGGACTTAATTGTTTGACATTGGTTTGGTTACTATTGTGTCTCGGGATTTACTGAACAATCCCAGAACGAAACCATGCAAACACAACCCAAGCCTACATTGCACACCCCTAATCTGCCTGGATGGCCCCAGCTATTCCGGTAGAAGTAAGGATAAACGCACTTTCACGCCTGAAAATTTTTCAGAAGAGAGGATTTTTGTCAAAGACAAGCTTCTATTATTGATGATTTAGTAGGAATACGCATTCGTTCCATTCTTTCCAATAATTTATTAGAGGACAGACAGGTATTGACTTCTCAGCTTAATTTTTCTTTCATCATTTTTCTTTTTCATAACCAATTATCCCAAACTGCACGACCAATATAACAAATCTGAACAAAATTGGAAAGGGAATAAGTGTCTAAGTATATTCTTCAGTTGTCGCAAATTTGCATAGGAAGCTTGATGAATATCCCTGACAAAGTAAGTTGCACAACGAAAGCTGAAGAGAGTGCAATTGTTGTCCATAACTAATCAAACGGAAGTACTTAATGAGCTGATGATTTTATTGAGTAAACCAGAAAGCTATGGATGCTTTATTCTCAGATGCGGTTTATAACAATTCTACAATAACTATTCCTAGAGTACAAAAGAATTCATTCAAAATTTTTTAGACACAGTCGGGCAACTTCAATTTAATCATTGTCCATGTCAATTTATTGTTTGTACAACACAATTAATAAAATTCCAATTATAGTTATGAAATTCATTCAATTTTAAGTTCCGAATACATTTAAAAATAGTATTAGCCTGCAGAAAAGGTTATTGTCAATCCTTTCTTTCTTTGTGTGTTTTTCTGGCAAACAAAGGCAAGCAAGAGGCAAACATGAAGTACAAGTTTTGCATGAAGGGAGTAGTGTGAAAAATAATAATATTTATCACCCTCCTCCCCCTTGTGCATCACTTGTACTTGCCTCCATTTGCCTTATAAAAAAGTACATTTGTTCTGCAACCTAAGGAAATAATCAATTAAAAGTTTTCCACCCATTCATCTGAATTCAGTGCAGATATTAAAAAAGAATCAGCAATTACTAGTTTGAATGAGGGGCAGTCACTTCATCTTTGTTTCATATACATGCCCTACAGAATCACTGACATGAAAAATCATCTGCATGTTTAGATAAATTTGTTTTTCATGTCAGCTTGACAGTAGAGCTAAACTTATTAAAGATTTCTTCAAAAATAATTCAGGATACTTTGAGCCTGTCAAATTTTGAGGGGTCCAGCCCCAGTGGAAGTGCTTTAGTGCCCAGACTATGGAAAGAAAAAAATCATTAATGTTACATAACCTATTAGCTAACAAAAGTCCTTTATTCACACTTTTTAAAAATGTGTGTGTGATATCAAAATTACTATTAATAACATAACAGAACTCGTGTGTAAACCAAAATACTCCAAGAAGGAAACATCACAAGAAGATTCCTTGCTAAAACAGACAACAGTTTTACCCTTTATATCTGCTTTCAAATTCTTACTTACACCTTAACATATGACATATTTGATATGAAACCCATTTTGTTTGCTATGGGCCTACCACTCTCCTCTCTCGGCTCACCCCTCTCCCCCCCTCCACTGAAAAACTAGTTTAAAGAAGCATGAAGCACTCACTTGACTTCTTTTAAAGTTGCATGAGAATGGACAGCCTCCATCAGCGAGTTAAACACCGTCTCAGTCAATGCTTTAAGTGAACTCCTTTCTTCACCTGAAAAAAGACATGTAACACATTACTATATGCTTCAATTTTTTTTTAAATTTTCAATTATCATGGACTTTTCTTAACCAAAATGGGTAAAATGCTGACTCAACTTCCCAAAATCATTCCTTTCAACCACACCCTATTCCAGCCACAACTGCAAAACTAGTGGCAAACTTAATCTGGCAAAGCTGTTCATATCAATTTTGGCTCTAATATTCTTGCTTCAAAAAGCCCTGAGTGATTTGAATGTTCCTGAGATTGGCAGCATGATTTTGAGAGTGAAAACAGAGTATAAACAGCTTGAAAGCACTAAAACACTTATATGTAAATAGAAATACCCACACTGAACCTTTTGGTATTTCTTCTGTCCCAGATACCACTGGACAACCAAGCCGCAGGTCTTTCAGTTTTGGCAAGAGTGACAGTGCTGGAGCTACCAATCCAAAGCCTGTTTCAGAGATCTTGTTGCCTTGGAGATCCATGTGTTCTAAATTTGGAAGATCTTTGAAGGCTGAGATAAGAAACCCCAAGCCATGATCTGTTATGCAATTGCTTGCAAGTGAGAACCTTACCAGATGAGGTACACAGGAGAGTGATTTTGTAAAGGCAATCAAACTTCCATCAGTGATCATGTTTGACTTTAGGTTTACCTCTTGGACTGATACCATTTCAGGAAGGAACCTGGCAAGTACTTGAAGAGCTTGCTTTCCAACTTGACTGTGCTCTATCAGTAGGGACTGCACTGTTTGGATGTTCAACAGAAAGTAAACCAGAGCCCTAACTTTGTATGGGGTGGCATTTAAATGATGTAGTGCTGCCACACCTGGGGGCATTTGTGACCCAAGTTTATAGGCCAAGTGTCCCTGGTTTGATTCATACAAGGAGGAAATACAAACTTCAAAGAATGACTGCATTAGGCTTTCATCTTCTTCAACTTCAGCAGCACCTTCCAGCAAAAGAAGCTCCAGAACAGGCGGAAAAGCATCTCCTAACAGCCCAGGTGTGAAAAGAAAGAGAACAGTATCTAACCCTGAGGACACGCAGTTCATGATGTAAACACTGACAAAATCAAAGACAGATCTGTCAATGAAAGCCTGCTTGATCTTGTTGCTCAACCACAGCGCTGCTAGGAATTCTTGATAAGATCTGTGTGAAAACCGGCACTTCTCAACAGGTTTAAGCCTTGAAGCTCCCAACTCCTTTGAGAGGAAGCCAATGTCTAAAACACCTTTGTAAGTACACTTTTTCTCAAGCTCCTGAACATCAAAAAGTAACTGATCATTCAGCAATCCGTTGAGTGAAATCTCTCCCAGTGATAACAGACTCTGGAAGAGGTCCTCTGGAATATCTTCCAGGGTGGAGAGGTTTCCAGGATCAATGCTGTTCTCACCAGTTTGTCTTGCATAATATCTCTTTACAAGCAAAAGAGTGAGTTCAGTGAAAAGAGATGTCATTGATGAAAGCAGCGCTGCTTGAGGCATCTCTTCCCACATCGCACAGATGAGCATTGCTGTGAGAGGAATTCTGGCGATGTTCTCAGCAACAGGATGCATTTCAAGTTGCGCCATTAAACTCTCAGCCATCGGTACATCATCTTGAAAGTACTTGAGAACAAATTCATGAATGTTCTCGCTTGTGAAACCAGTTATCTCAATCCGAGAATCCATAAACCAGTGCACACGAGAACCTTTACCAGGCCTTGATGTCACAACAACAGTGGCATTTCTAAATATCTTGCCCATAATGAGATCTTCCATATCCTTTAGTTGGGAAGGATTGACTTCATCATAACCATCTAAAATGAAAAGAACATTTTCTTGGTTGGCAGAGATATACTGGAAGAGATAATCAGCCGAATATGGAAAATCTCTTGGAAAGAGCAATTCAAAAATGTCACTCTTCAGATTCCCTTTCATCTGCTTCAGTTCCATGAAAAGGATAAGCTGGAATTGCTGTAAATTAGGATTTCCAGAAGCCCAGTCATACACTATCAGTGACAAAAATGTACTCTTTCCTACACCAGCTTGTCCTTCAATAAGAATGCGTTTCTGCTTGGTGAAAGGGGAGTGCCTTCTGAAGACCTCAACATAGGAGTTCAAGGGCTCTTTCTTTATGGTTCTCCCTTGATGAGTCTCTGTGATCATCTGCAGATTGGTATAGATGTGTTTGATGTGAATATGAAATGACTTATTCCATGCAAGAGGCTGTAGCCATCCAATTACATTCTTGTATAGGTCACATACAGACTCTTGAAATGTACTCAGTGGAGATGAAACATTACTTCCACTAGCTTGACCTGTAACCAACATTATTATATCAATAATGTCAATATCATATCAAAAACAGCTGCCTCTGGATAACTTAAATCTCAGATCTGCCTATGCTAATAAATGCAAAAGGTATGGGGAATTCAGGTCAAATTCTTGGACCACAGCCAGAGATGTAATGGCATGAACCATGTCACCCAAAGTATGAAGAAGGAAAGATTCTCTATATTCTAAAGAGGCCCACGAAATTGACGCACTTCCATGGATATTACGGTATTCTGGAATGGTATCATTATTTCATCTCTAATGCCACTATTCCAAACCCCCCTTCTTTTGCCCCTTCTCAATGTTCCTTTTTGTTTAGTACGACGTTACGACATTGAACTAGGGAAGGAGCGCAAATCGCAAACTGCAGTTGGTATCAATACTTTCTTAGAGGAGAATACGTAAGGTAAATAATTTTGTTGTGAATAGAAGCTACACTAATGTGTCGATCCTATAAATTCCTACCCAATAAGTCATCTCTCAGTTCCAAGCGATTGATTCCGCCTAATATGGCGGCCAGAAATTCCTTGTTATCCGCATTCAGCAAGTTTCTGTTTTCAAGTTCATCAAACAACTCTAGTGGCCTTTTGAGTCTCTCCAAAACTCCAACAGGAATGTGCTGCTTGCACATAAACTTCAAGTCGACGAACTCTCGATCAGTAATTCCGTTTGAGAGGGACAACAGTTTAACACGAAATGGATCCATGACTTTTATTGGCCACTGTTGTTTACTTTTACTTGTTATCGTCCGTAAATTAAAAGCGTTATGAAAGTAGCATTCTCCTCAATCCCTGTTGTTGTTACAGCACAGGAAATTAAGAATTGCTCCTAGCCACCACGTAACTGAATCACTTTCCTTCTTGTCCGGGAGTGTGTTTGTGGAATAATGGAATACACATTCGTTCGTGAAATGACGTACTTGTGAGAGACTGGGCCTGGGATAATGATAAGTGTCCGAAGTGGAGAGGGATGATAATAATCGAACACGACATAGAAAAAAAAACCCTTCTCCAATTTAAAACCAGAAATTGTAAAACATCATCATATTGATATAATCTTACTTTATTCAAGATAATTAGATACTATCTGCCAGATCTAGAAGCTACAGTATACTTATAGAAAAAGATTTTAATACGTAGTAGGGAGGGGTGATGAGAAAATTAGTTCTTGGTGGATTTCAGTACGAGACGGTTGGTGCGTTTTGTTGATTTCAACATGGCGGCTTCGAAGAGGGTGGCCTGCTCTCTGTGGCACTTTATATCTAGGGATGATCCCTTTAGACAAAGACTTTTAAATATGAATAGAATAAAAAACATCAGAAGCTTAAGTAGAAGCATTAGTCGCCCTTCAAAGGGGGCTAACTTTCCAGTTCGAAGCGATTGTATGTTGCCCGAAAAATGTTTTGAAGGCAAGATTGCATTTGTTACTGGTGGAGGGACAGGCTTAGGGAAAGGAATGGTGAAGATGTTATCTGAGCGAGGTGCGACTGTCATCATATCTAGCAGGTGCTAATGCAAGTTTTGTTTAAAGGGAATTTTTGTAGAAAAATTCCTTAAAATCAATGAATGTGGTATTTGATGCTAAATAATAATTAATAACAATTACAAATTTAATTTAAGTAATTAAAAGGTAAGTGTTCGTTAGTCCTTTTTCTTTTTTCACATATCAGATATGTTAATGCTGCAGACTGCTGGAGATCTAACTTAAGTTCATAAATATTACCTCATGCTCACGAAATTTTCAGGTTAATACCTTTGAATGTTTTGAAATGAAAAACTAATTGCAACTGAAGTTAGTACAGGAATAAATGCACGAGTAATTTCCTTAATGCCTAGATTTGGGACTACAATTAGGTCAAGATGGACATTTAATAAGATAAATGAGAAGTGCAATTTCATAAAATGACCTGATTTTCTGTCATCAGACAAATTATCTCGGAAATTTATATGACTGGCATGCTCAGTTCTCTGTCATAAAAACCACAAAATTTTTTGTGGTTATTATTGCAGTGAACTGATTATTAAATAATGATAATGATAATATGATCAGCAAGTGATTGGAACCCGGGAGAGACATTTGATTATGTGTTGTCATCATTCAGGTGAGAGTAGACCTGGAAAGGACAGTGTTTGACCAAAGTTTTGACAATTTGAGTGCAAGTGATTCTTAGGATGAAGGGAGCAGGCTGATGATGACTTCTACTCGCGTTGCTATGATGTAAATCACTTTCCTTGACAACATTCCTTTCCAGGGCTACTCTCATATGGTCAATCAGAGATATACACAATCAGTTGATTATATTGTGTTTTGTTTAAATGAAAAATAGGAAGCTTGAAGTCCTTGAAAAGACGGCTGAGGAAATATCCAGTCAAACTGGAAACAAAGTAAGACTTAGTTAAAGGAAAGAATACAGTCATTTTTAACATGGCATTGTGAAAGTAGACTCAGATTGTTGGTTTTCTTCACTGATCACTCAATTGGTCTGAAAAATGCGTTCAATCCTCTTGATGAATCATATGCTTAAAAAAGGAAACCAAACACAACTTGTTAACCTGTATTTTTTATGCTTTAGTCCAAGTGCTAACCAGCCCCTTGTGATACTGACCTTTCATCAGTGCTTAGATTTTGAGACTCGACAGAGAAGCACTCCTGAGTGAATATAGTCCACGTGTAGAACCATTGATTTCCTCCCTTTTCAATGAACTATCAAAATTAATTAAATAACCCTTTCACTCTTAGCAGTGACCAAATATGAATTCCTCCTTAAAATATCTACATTTTCAAACAGAAAGGTGACAAGAAGAAAGAGTCAACTATGAGATTCAACACTACATTCTCAGATCTCAAATTATAAGAAATGTATGGCAGGCAGTGTTGAGAATTGATATTTTGATCTTGAGAATGAAAGGGTTAATAATATCTTTTCTCAAACTGTTCAGGAATAAATCTGCTTGTGAAAAAATTTCCAATTCCTAGGTTTTACCAGTAGCTGCAGATGTGCGTGACCCATCACAAGTAGCTGCTGCCATAGATTTCTGTGAGAACAAGTGTGGTCTCCCTGATTTGATAATCAACAATGCAGCAGGGAATTTTGTGTCTCCAACAGAAAGGCTGTCTGCAAATGCTTGGAAAACAATCATTGACATTGTCCTGAATGGCACAGCATTTGTAACATTGGACCTTGCAAAGCGCTTGATCAAAGCCCAGAAAGGTACTAGGGTCAGAGTGGCCTTAATCTACCAGTATGTTAAGTAGAGAAATGTCTCTGAGATGGTGTGAGTACCCTTTTATCCATACCCCTCAAGAGGTACCTTACACATGTCATGTAGTGTGTGCAAGTGCCCTTTTTAGAAACAAAATGCAATGATTTATTTAATCAAATAACTTGGCATCCTACCAACTGCCAGGAAAAAGAATTTTGATGGAGAATCCTCCCTTATTGGTTAGATTTTTTCCTACCCTTCACCCATTACCGCTTATTCCTTGTCCATACAATTTAGGAACATATCCACCAGCCTGACTTTTGAAAATATTTGTTGATATTAGTTATTAAATCTAAAGTGCCTAAATTATACCTGTTCAATAACTAACAATGTGTGAGTGACTTCACTGGGCTTTCTTCCATTTATAGGTGCAAATTTCTTGGCAATCACGACCATCTATGCTAAATCTGGTTCAGGTTTTGTGGTGCCATCTGCAGCCTCGAAAGCTGGTGTAGAGACCATGACCAGGTAATGACATACAACCAAGTAAATCATCCCAAGTGGCATAACAGTTTTTAACTGATTACTGAAAGCATTCTGGGATTACATTGATTCAGTTCTGTAATTGCATTACAAAATGTGGCCCACCTTCTCGACTATAGCCTTACTATATTTCTTGTTCCCCATAAAAAATAACACCTTAATAGGAGAGTAATTTTATTCCTTTAAATAAATTTTGATCCTTGTTAGATCCCTGGCTGCAGAATGGGGAAGATATGGAATGAGATTCAATGCTATCGCTCCAGGACCCATTGAGACTAAGGTAACAGACCTTTGATTCCTAGAAGTAACGAGAAGATTGAAGCAGGGGAAGAGGGCTACTGACACCTGCCCAAATATCAGCCCAGTATCAGCCCAATATCAGCCCAATATCAGCCTCACCCCATTCCAATAATTGAGTTGTTGTTTCCTATTATGATGTTAACTTTCCTTACACCTTTGACAGTTTAATTTTTTTTTCTTAGCCATGTAACCATCACATCATTTCAAGCCTTTAGTTTTAGTCCCAAATCAGAGAGCAGTCTCCATTCCTTTTTAAGTTACAACTTTAAATGTTAGTGGGTTAAGTGGTATGTTCTTTCAATCTTCCTGAGAGATCTAGTTAATGAGCTACATGACTGGTTTTACGTATAATCCAACCTTGTTTCCAGGGTATCTCATCTTCCAGCCTAAACACCAGGGTCTCTCCTGGCCCCCTCCAGGGGGCGGGAAGATGAGAGACCCTGGGAACAAGGTTGCGTATAATCATTTTTCATGATTACAACTTTTCCAAGATTAATATTTGTTTACAAAAAAAATTTTCAGTTCTCCTTAAGTGTTTTTGTTATTTTCAGGGTGCCTTCAGCCGTCTTGATCCCACAGGAGAATTTACAAAGCATGCTATAGAACGCATTCCCACTGGCAGACTTGGTGAAATCCCAGAACTGGCAAACCTAGCAATGTACCTTGTTAGTGACTACTCCAGTTGGATGACGGGAGAAGTATGCATCAAGGAATTTGTCTTTGTTACAGTTGTTCCCTTATTCTCAGTTTTAACACAAACAGGGTGTCAGGAGGCAAAATAATGAAATTCAGAAAATAAGGGAAAAGTAGCCAAAAAGGAGGGAAATTTGGGAAATCTCACCCAAAAATAGTATTTATATCCTCTTAACAATACCAAAAATAATGTTCCACAACCCGATTATTTCTCTTATTAGCATGCAGCAAACACGATGGCATGCATCCTTAATGGCTGTTAAAGCATGTGAATATGGTGCCATTACAATTATGCAAAAACAAGTATTACCAAAACATAGGAACTTGACACCTTGCACAAACTTTTTGAGGACTCACTTTCAAGGATAGCACCAGGAATTCTGATTCACAAACTGATACACAGAGGCGGTGTGGCTGAGTGGTTAGGGTGCATGACTTGTAGTCAGGTGTCCCAGGTTCAAGTCCTCCACCCTGCCACTCACTGGATTTGTTCTCGGCTGCCCCTAGTTCAACTCCTCGGCTGCACTCTGTAAATAGCCCACTGGTCTGCCTCCTACCAGTGGGGATTTTTAAGCACTTAGTTAGTCTACATTGGGGCTGAAAAGCCCCTAATGGGGAGCTTGAATTTACATATTTATTTATTTATACACCCCTGATCACTCTCAGTAATTGTGATTTTGTGTAGGTTGTGACATTTGATGGAGGAGAGTATGTCTCTATGGCTGGTGAATTTAATGAATTCAGAAAGGTATGTTGATAATTTATATCGATACAGTAAATTACTTGAACCCGGGAGTCGCATTTGATTACATAGTTTGATCCTCTGCATGACTAGCAGGCATAATTTTGGCAAGCGAGTGCTCAATACTTTCTTAGCAAAAATTATGGCAGTCATCTTTGATCTTAGTGGAATTGGAAGGCTGGGGAGAGAAAGAAATTGTACCAAGGGGGTGATTGACAGTAAAAAATAAGGAGGGGGTGAGGCTGGGGGAGTGAATATTATGCCCCTTCCTACCCCCATCTCCCTACCATTGACTCAAACTTCAAATTACCGGTAAACATAGTGGGTTGAATAAAGGATTGCATACTTCTTAACCTTAACTCCACCTCTAAGACTCCTGCACTGCAGGCTACTGCGTGACAGTAGTCCCAAGAAGGACTGTTGTCAGCAGTGGTGACTGATGTTTTGACAACCTTAACAGAGGTCATCATTAGAGTCATATGATGAATTGCTGTCATTTGGCTGTTTAAGTTCAGTCTGTGTAAACTGATTGGTCAGGTTTGATCCAGAGGTATGTTTTGTCCAGTTCACATGTTGCAGAAATGTTGTGAATAAGTCATTTGTAAGGTGCCAGAAGTTGTCGATAGCATGGCTCCTAAGTTGACAATGTTCAGCAATGTGATTGTTGACATCACAATCTACATTAATTTTACCTGTTAATTTAAACAATTTCAGAGTTATGCTTCTGTCCTTTTTGTTGTGCTTGCATTTCAGATCCCAAATGAACAGTGGGACCAACTGGAAGCACTTATCAGAAAAACAAAGGGCTCTTAATACACTTGTTGCAATTTAGGAATCAGTCTCTAAAGTGTACATTTAACCTCTCTTAATGTGATCTTAACTTTGTTCCTGTCTTTACATCTATGATGAGAAGATCCTAGATACATTTCCTTCATGAAAATTGTAAATGTTTGATTGAAGAATCAAAGTTTATTTATAATCCATTGTGGTGTTGTGGATTGTAGTTCCTGAAAATCATCTTTTTTTTAAACCTACCTGGTGCATTGTTTTCCTTGAGTACTTTGAGTTAAAAAATGAATTATTTGCATCTGCCTGTGCAGAATCATTTGATGGAACTGTCATAGTTGGGAAAAGCTGTTCATAGTTATCAAGAGATTTGTAAGTCACCGAATCATTTAACCCTCAGAAGTGATTAACATTTAACTTATCCAGGGTTGCCATGGTCAGGGAAAAGTCAGGGAAAAACAAAAATTTTTCTAGGTCAGGGAAAATCTTAGTTCTCGTCAAAGTCAGTGAAAAGTCAGGGAATTTTGTTTTGAGGGTTCCACAAAGGTTTGTGAAGTATTTGATCGAGTGTAGCAAATTGGATAGAAAGCTTAAAAGCAACCGAGAAATGTAAAAGTGGATTTGGCCTGTTTGATAATTAATTTAATTCAAGGTCAGTGAAAAAAGTTTTGAGGTCAGTGAAAAGTCAGGGAATTTTGTTTTGAGGGTTCCACAAAGGTTTGTGAAGTATTTGATTGAGTGTAGCAAATTGGATAGAAAGCTTAAAAGCAATGGAGAAATGTAAAAGTGGATTTGGCCTGTTTGATAATTAATTTAATTCAAGGTCAGTGAAAAAAGTTTTGAGGTCAGTGAAAAGTCAGGGAATTTTTTGGGTTCTAATGAGTGGCAACCCTGTTATCCCTATAATGTTCATACATTTTTCAGCAAACAGGTAATGAGAACACTCTAACTTCACAGGCAAAAGTTGTTATCATGACCTAACATCAAATTTTTGTAGCTTATTTATGAGGAAATTTGTAGCAACCAGAGAGATGAATGCAATATCAGATCTTAGGAAGGTGGGGGAAGTTTTGAGTTGAAACTGGGTGAAATATTGGTGATCACTTATCAAAGTTGAGCAAATACTAGGATTTGTCAGAAGTAAGCAATCCAGTAATTAATATTGAACTTCAAGACAGTTACAAATTATGTTCTTTTACCATGACCAAGTTCAATAATAACTTTCATTGTTTAACTGCTAATTATGATTTTCATAAATTGCCTCTGGAGAATCACTCTCTGACGCTTGGGGAAGTGACCTATCACTCTCCATGGACAAAGGTGGACAAAAGTATACACAACAAGAAGGGTATTTTCAGCCAAAACTGGTTAGATGGTACTATACAACAACTTGTAATTGCAGTTATCATAATTAACTTTATGCCTTAACAAAAAGGAAGAAAAAATAACAAAAGATGAACTAATTAATGAATGATTTTTATGATTCACCACCAAAAAAGGGATAGATGGTTCGTTATTTCAGCATGGGTATTTGCTTGCTATGGCATCTCATAATTTTTCAATTATGGTAAAAATAAAAATTTGAAGAATGATCTTAGTTCAAGTTATACTAAGTTTTGAAAGGACTAAAACACAAACAGTTAAAAGTAAGAGGTGTTTTACTGTCTTTTTATTTACATTACACTGTAATTAGCACACAAAAAAAGACCATATTCCAAAATCTGAGAACTTTTCACATTCACTAGCAGGCTAACAAAAGACCAATGAATTTCAATTACGCCTGGTCAGAACTGACACCAGTGATGGGGTTTGCCCTGCGCTGCCTTGCTATCTTTTTGGCATCCTCTTGCCATTCAACTGTTAGAGTACGAGGCCTCTCTGGACCAACTAGTGAAAAACACAAATTATAGTGTTATAGTGAGGGAAACTGTTAACATGTAGTGGAAGTGCAGCATGATGTGACAAAACCAACACACTTTAGGATAAAGATTTACTTTGCTGGGGGATATCAAACAGGTAATACAAATGGTTTAAAATTGCTATGAACAATTAGGTATTTTCAGCAGGTCTGCATTGAAACTTGTGCCATTATTAACAGAAACAAATTCAAAGCCTAAGCACTTTGATGATTTGAAGGCAGATCATTCTGATGAGGTATCTTAGGTTGGTATCGTGAAAAAGTGAACATAGTCCCTGTAGTGGGTATACACGTAAACCTTACTCTCAGTGATACTGATAATCATCAAATTCCTTTATGTAAACACAAATTATACTTTGTGGGCTTCCTTCAGGGTATAAAATCTGTTGTTTTTAAATCAGTTGTAGAGGCCAGGAAGGTTAAATTACAGGAAAATAAAAGTATAATAAACCTTGGGGACCATTTACCAAAGAGTTTTATCCATGTATAAATGAAAAGACAACTCTTTTGCTATTTGTAGGTAACTTTTTTTAGTAAATTTGTCTATTCACTATCAAAGTGAGGATGAGAAATATGCTTCAGAAATAAACTACAGTTTTCCAAAATGTTATGTCATTCACCGTGATATGGCTGGCCATTTGTAGGAATATTCAATCATTCTTTCCTTCAACCCTTCAACTGTTCAATTCAACCCCAATTCAACCATTCAAGACCCGCATTCAACCATTCAAGAATCTATTCAACTATCCAACCCCAATTCAACTATTCAGTCCTGCATTCAACCATTCAATCCCGCATTCAGACCTGATGGTTGCAGGACTGAGTAACCTAGCAAAACTACACGAAGACGTCCTAAGACGTCTGTTACGTTAACTTAGAAATATTGTACGCAGTAAATATTCCTTCCATTGACATTTATAGCAATGTAACGTATTTCTTCAGACAGGTTCAATGAAAGAATTAAATCAAAATTGAATTCAAAAGACCGAAAAATTTTGTTGGCTAGAGATACACACTAAGATGGGCTGCCTGTGGTTTCCCAAAGTTCTTTGCAGAAGTTTCTCAAGTGTGTCAGAAGATATGTTGTACGATGGCCTCCCGCGGGGAGGAATAATTGCTTGTCTGTTTGAGCCCAAGTTAGCGACAGTTTTTGTGGTAATGGAAGCTCGAGACAATAAATGGTTCCAGCCTTGTAAAATATCATCAAAAGCGTAAGTAATTTTTTGCAACTGTGGTTTCTCATTATCTTCAAACTGGAAACAATCTTCCAGCTTTCTTAACAAGGAGATTGTTTTGTAAAGTGTTACAGCATGCCTTTCCAATGGTTCCACCTCGAAAGGAATCTTACATAACTGAGTTGTCTTGTTTAGGACGTGGTTTAAAAAACTAGGTATCTCTGTTAGCTCAAATTGCTGTGCATCTGGCACCATCTTCCTTTCTATGATAACTTAGGTTTCAGGCTCCAGCTCGGCCATCTTTCATCCCAGGTTCCCCATTCCGCCAGTTAATGGTTGAATGCGCGATTGAATTGGGATTAAATAATTGAATGGGGTTGAATAGTTGAATTGGGGTTGAATAGTTGAATTGGGGTTGAGTAGTTGAATAGATTCTTGAATGGGGGTGTTGAATTGTTGAATTGGGGTTGAATTGAACGGATGAATTGCAGTTGAATAGTTGAATAAAAGAATTTTTGAATATTGCTACAAATGGCGTGCTATACTGTGACGGTAAGCTATTCATCTATGTGACAAATCAAAATACACAATCAGTAACAAAGAGTGCCCTTACCATATTTCTTTAGAAATGCAAACAGACCAACTGAAACTGCCATCAAAATAGAGAGCATTCCAACCAGCTTCTTTACGTAAGGTTCTTCTGTCTTTTCCTCTGCTATAGTTTTAGGAAACTGAGCTTTGTACACTAGAAATAGGGAAGAGCAAACATCAGGGTTCGTACACTTCTGACCAGTTAAAATTCCACAACTTTCCATGACTTTTTCCACGACCTTTTGAAAGATTCCATGACCTGTTTGCAAACATTCTCACAATGCATGCTTCTGTTTATTTCTAATGAAATTAAATCTGATTTTTGGACTTGTCAGTTAACTTTTCAACTTTGGGGGGTCTTATTGCCTTTCACTCATTGGGAGCATATTGACTTTCCATGACTTTCCATGACCCACACCTAAATTTCATGACTTTTCAGACCTGGAAAATGAAATTTTGAAATTCCACGACTTTCCAGGTTTTCCATGACCTGTACCAACCCTGAACATATAAATCTTTGAGAAAAAAATACTGTTCCTTCCTTCTTATCACAAATTTTCACAACTTAAAAACTGCAAAAGAAATGTAAAATAGTTATTGAGTGGACAATGAAATATATCTATTCACATTTAAGCAATGGGTCACATTTCCTTTGATTTTACTGAAACACTTATCATGAAGGGATGTCTTTAAAGCATGTATGAAGCTTGAAAATCAACAGATTTCAACTCATGAAACATTTTGTTTTTTTTATGCTCATTCAACATCTCAAGTAGGTTGTACACTACAAAACCAATAAAGGTGCAGAATTTTAGTTTTATTAAAAAACAAAACAACATCCAAATGCTAATGTTTTCATATGATTTACAAGTACAGTTAAGCCAGTACATTCTTGACCAATTGGAGCCTAGGTGGCTGTTCAGTTCCTTTAAATCACTCTAATATAAAAAATTTATGCACTTTGAGCACAACTGCCCCATAACATCATCATTTATGGACTATAAGTAATAATTCAGCTTTTTGTCAGGCGAGCTGGAGTTGTCCCTTCAAACTATTTCTCTATTAATGCACGAGCGCCCAATTGATCGATGATTCGCAATTCAACAGCAATTAAACATATATACTGGAACACAGTAGAGTAAACTCCTGTCGAATGAATTTCTTAATCATTTTACAGCCAGAGAAGATAATCACATGCCGTCAACACACTCACATTACTATCTAACCCTCCTGTGTAACAAGTGAATCAATATTAATATGACGTACAAATCGAAATCCACTCGAAACTAAGGTTACGATGAACTAAAATCGTCAAAAGCTAAGACCTCTGCTGCTAATCTGTAAAATGATATCAAATTATTCTGAGTAAAACTAAACTATGTAGTAGCAGTAAGCACTATTGAATGAGAGAACTCACGGTCAATTTTCTCCTGTGTTGTAAGCTCAGTCCACGGACCCTCTTCCTTGGCTTGCAGCGCGGCTAGTTCAGATCCGTACTCTGGTCTGATCTTTGGAACTGGATAATATTTTCGAGCAGCCGACGTCTGGATTGGTCTGCAAGCAATTCTAGCATAGATTCGAGGTAAAGCACCCATTTTCAATAAGCTCGCCATGATTAGTAACTTGCAGAGGCAAAAATCCGACAAGATGGCGAAAAGCTAGAGTGACGTTCGTGGCGCGCAGTGTCTTGTAGGTATCGATAGAAAGTTTCTTCATTTAAGAACACACGAATAAAGGGTCACGATTCCCTTGTTACAGATTCGACAGCGTTTGACGTCATGTCAACTCCACTTGGCTATACGATAAGTGTATACGTGTAGTGAGATACTTAAGTGATATGAGGTAGGCCTGCTAAGGTGAATGAAACAAAATAAAATCGCGACAAAAGATAACCCTTTATGGGAAAAATTTCGACATTTACGTCTGTAGACAAGGTAAAGAGACGGGACAAAGAACAGCCATTTGGTATACTTTTTTAATTTGAAAAACCAAGAGACGCCAAGAACGATAAGTAATTGATAGGCCACCGTGATATAAATACGCAAGGCTCGAAGGATCTTCCTACCCTTTTTTCCATCCGAGACAAGCAATACCGGACACCCCACCCCATAGTTGGGCCTCTATAAAGAGGCCATTTCCAATCACCCTCACCATTTCGCTCAGAATAACTTCAAGTTTTTATTACCTTCATTTTTTTAAATTTTTTCCACATTTAAATAAAAATTTCGAGTTTAAATAATCAAATTTTGACAATTAAGACTCTGTTTAACGTTATTTTTAACAGCAATCGTAAATAACTTAATATATATACAGCAAGTACATGTACGCACCACGATGGACACTAAGTTTAGTTAGTGCAGAGGATGCAACAGAATCCCTTTACACAGGACCGTAACGTCACCCTCGCTTGAAGTGTCCTTTTAACTACAAAGCCCGTCTTTATTCTCGAGAAAGAATTCAGTTTTAAGGTGACTAGAAAAAAAAGCCAAAATGCTGGAGAGCATTTCACAAAAATCTGATGAAAAGCTTTGTGCACAAATGTTAAGAACAGATTCTGATTTCGTATTAACAAAGATTTAGTAATACATAGACAGGTAAAAACGAACGATGTAAAATCCCGACGTTTCGGCGACTTCATGACGCCATTATCAAGGGTACAAATGAAAATAAAATTTACAAATGCGAGTTCTTTAACTCGCATTTGTTAATTTTATTTTCATTTGTACCCTAGATTCTGATTTGTCTAAGGAGAAAGAAATTTCGAAGAGATGTCATATTGGAAGCCAGTCGTGGGTTGGTATATCAAGATGAAGCTCCATATCCGGTGTACACCTGGAAAAGAATAAAAGTAAAGTTACTACTTTACAACAACACACGTGGGTATGGTCAAAGAATCAAAATAAAAATATCAATTAAAGGATAGAAGAACAACCCAGACTGTTGACGGCGCCTTTCATTATGATCATCATCATCATGATCATCATCATCGTAATCATCATTGGTAGGGTGATAGTTATTACCATAGTTATTAACCCTTTCACCTTTTTATGTTTCACTAAAATTGCTACGCTGTCAGGTTGGATAGAGCTAACATAAAATCATGTCGTTACGAGGATCTACAGTAGAGCGGGTTCGATCCCCGGTCAAAGTACGCTGATACTCCAGTGGGATTGGTTGAAAAGGTAACATGGTCGCTGTGACTGATGATCGTCTAATGCATTCACGAGTTGTACGAGTCGTAGGACTCGTGAATGCATTACACGTTTTGTACGGATCATACGGGTCGGATGACTCGTAAGTGCATAAGGCGATCTGTACGAATCGTATGGGTCGTACGACTCGAGAATACATTACACGACCAGTACGAATCGTGCGGATCGATAAGTCAGGTTTACGACGCGTTACGATCCGTGATATTGGACAGCCCTATAGTTTCTTGCATTGAGGATGCTCTACCCAGAGTTCCCACCCTTAGCTCTTGCAGAAATGGATGTAACTTTTAACCAAGAGGGTATTCGGTTAAAATAAGCCATTTTGGCATAAACCTAACATGAACATTAAAACTGCCTTCCGTTTTAATTGACTTAAAGCTCTTTCAATAGGACAAAGGGTTAACAAAAAGTTCTTTACAAAAGTTACTCACTTTTCCCGTTTTCCAAACACTTCAGGAAATATTTCAGCTTGTGTGTCTAAGGCTTCGCTATCTAAGAGTCTCCTGTTGGAAGAGTGAATACAAGAAATTCCATCAGCATAACGAAGTTACAAGAGTTGTCAAATTAATATTAAGTCTACATACCTAATTTCAGCTTCCAACTTTGCATTGTTCATTTCCAGGGATTTTAGCTCTTCTTTGTGCAATTTAACCTCCTTAAGATAAAGAACATAAAATCAACATAAGTGGAATTATTTTACCCCAAAATGATTTAAACAACAGCTGAACAATTAAGTCAATTGGGTGAAAATGATACATATACACATGTAAGTTACCTTTTTCATGATCATATTTTGTAAAGCCATTTCTTTAATGTCATCCCCCATAGCATTGATTGTATCCTGAGAATGTTCAAGGAAATTTAAAGAGTGTGTTAAAGACTGTTACCGGGTTTCTGCGCTTTTTTTATTAGCAAAAGTCAGACGGTCAACTACTTTCATTTCGCATACACAGATTGTTAAGATCGTTCATGAATAATCAGTTGCTCTCATAGCCTAAATCTCCATTGAATAAAGGCTGATAGTTTCTAAAGAAACTGTTCGGGGCTGCGTCGGTGGGGGTAACGAAATAAATTGGATATATCAACAAAGTTGAAATGGTAAATTGGCCACCGTAACGATTACAAAAGCTGACGTTTCGAGCGATTGCCCTTCGTCGGAGCGAAAGATGAGGGGCTAACGCTCGAAACGTCAGCTTTTGTAATCGTTACGGTGGCCAATTTACCATTTCAGCTTTGTTGATATATCCAAATTAAATCTCCATTGGCTTGATAGGATGCACTGCAACCATCATAAAACAAGAGGCAACTCTTACCAAAACTTCTGTTCCAATTTTTTTCTGTGGTCACCTACTCCTAACCCCTTAATACATCATAACCAGTCTCCTTGATACTTAGCCAGGAATGTTGGACTTTGAACTTCTTACATACCTCTGTTGCTTGAGTTGTTATTTCTTGCTGGAAAGTTATTCTTTGTTGATTGAATTTATCTCTCTCAGCATTAGCTATAGCTTGTAAGTCTTCTAGTTCTTCCTGGTAAAATGACATCAAGAAAAAAAAAATTTGAAGAGAAAGAGAACATAATAATACTCAAAGCGAATGTAACTGTATTCCTTCAATATCTTTTGACCAGCCCTTAATACATCAGAATTTCTTTCGTTCTGAGTAGGACTGTACCACTAACTGGAAAGAACATCATTTTTTTTTTTGGTCATTAGGCTAAAAATTTAACACCTCGCTCCATCATAACACAAAAACAATAAGTCTACCTCCAAATCCTAACAATGAGTATCCTAAAATGTCTCAAAATCTCTGGGTACACATTTTTTTTACCAAATAAGTATTACTTGGTATGATACTATCTACTTAAGTGTAATGAAATGTCTTAAGTCTTGTGAAAAATCATTCTAACCTTAAATGTTGACTCTAAATGTTCCCTTTGCCTCTTCAGTTTGGCTATTTGGAGTGCCTTTGCAGGATACTCTTTATCCTAGCATAACATACACACAAAAAAAGGCATATACAAAAAGCATTAAAAAACAAGTATTCAATTTCCATAACATTTCACAATACTAAGTTTAACAATCTGGGGATTTGATGGTGCAGTGTAATTGTCAAAGTGAAGGTGACCCCGACAAGGACTGCAAACCACCATATCAAATGCGTTGAAAGCTAGAGTGTAGTTAAAGCCCTTGGTGCTGTACACCTACGTCAGTAAAAATTCCATAATGAACCCTGAAGAATAAAGATAAAAACTTCACATTAGATGGAATCCCTCCCCCCCTTTTGCTCTCATAATGTTTGGTCATAAATTAACATGATTGCCAAATTTACAAAGCTTTCTACCCTGGAATTGCTGTTAAATTGCCTCACTCTCTAACATTTTCAGCTTGCCTTATAGTTTAGCAGTATGTTCATTTCTTCCCTCTTTTGTGTCAACTTTCTGTCCATTACATTCAGTTGGCACTGTAAATCTACAACAAAAGTACACAGTACAACTCAATAAGGGAAATGAATACAGTAGTGTTGTCCATAGGATGGCTTCACCCTTAAGGTAAATCATGTAGTTCAGGAAAAATGATTAAGATTCTAATTTTTTTAGAACAAACTTCACTGAATGATGACAATTGCTCACATTTCTCAAAAATTTTCTATTTCACATTGAGGTAAAGACATTTATAATTACTTATTGTACCTGCTACTTCTTTATCAACTAATACTTTTGTCTCCTCCAGTTTCTTCTTTGTTATTATTAGGCTTTTATCAAACTTCTCATTTAATGTTGACATGGCACCCTGTCAAGGAGGAATAACTTGATTATTCAATTACCAGTCAAATGCTGAAAAAAAAAAAAAAAAAAAAAAAGGAAAAAAACTTGTCCCATAACAGAACAACCAAACAGAGTTTTCTATGGGTATAAACTTTGTAGGTTTTGCTGTTAAAAAAACAGAGTTTTCTTTAGGTATAAACTTTGTAGGCTGTTGCTGTTAAGAAACAGAGTTTTTTTTTAGGTATTAACTTTGTACATGTTGCTTTGCTGTTAAGAAACAGAGTTTTCTTTAGGTATAAACTTTGTACATGTTGCTGTTAAGAAACAGAGTTTTCTTTAGGTATAAACTTTGTACATGTTGCTGTTAAGAAACAGAGTTTTCTTTAGGTATAAACTTTGTACATGTTGCTGTTAAGAAACAGAGTTTTCTTTAGGTATAAACTTTGTACATGTTGCTGTTACGAAACAGTTTTTTTTAGGTATAAAACTTTGTAGGGTGTTGCTGTTAAAAAACAGATTTTTCTTTAAGTATAAACTTTGTAAGGTGTTGTTGAGAAACAGATTTTTCGTTAGGTATAAACTTTGTAAGGAGTTGTTGTTAAAAACAGAGTTTTCTTTAGGTATAAACTTTGTAGGGTGATGCTGTTAAGAAACAGAGTTTTCTAAATAGGTATAAACTTTGTACATGTTGCTGTTAAGAAACAGAGTTTTCTTTAGGTATAAACTTTGTAGGGTGTTGTTGTTAAGAAACAGAGTTTTCTTTAGGTATAAAATTTGTAGGGTGTTGTTATTAAAAAACAGATTTTTCTTTAGGTATAAACTTTGCAAGGTGTTGTTGTTAAGAAACAGATTTTTCTTTAGGTATAAACTTTGTAAGGTGTTGTTGTTAAGAAACAGAGTTTCCTTTAGGTATAAACTTTGTAAGGTGTTGTTGTTAAGAAACAGAGTTTTCTTTAGGTATAAACTTTGCAGGGTGTTGCTGTTAAGAAACAGAGTTTTCTTTAGGTATAAACTTTGCAGGGTGTTGCTGTTAAGAAACAGAATTTTCTTTAGGTATAAACTTTGTACATGTTGCTGTTAAGGAACAGAGTTTTCTTTAGGTATAAACTTTTTAGGGTATTGTTGTTAAGAAACAGAGTTTTCTTTAGGTATAAACTTTGTAGGCTGTTGCTGTTAAGAAACAGAGTTTTTTTTAGGTATAAACTTTGTGAGGTGTTGCTGTTAAGAAACAGAGTTTTTTAAGTATTAACTTTGTAGGGTGTTGCTGTTAAGAAACAGAGTTTTTTTTAGGTATAAACTTTGTAGGCTGTTGCTGTTAAGAAAGAGAGTTTTTTTTAGGTATTAACTTTGTATGTGTTGCTGTTAAGAAGACTGTTGAGTAAGTTTTCATAATCAATTTATCATGCTTCCCAGAAACTCCTTAACCCTCTCACTCCCAAGATCTTATCACTAATTCTGCTTACTGTCTGCCATGCAATTCTTAAGATATTAGTTTTGAGAATTTAGTATCAGATCAGCTAATAATTCCCTGATTAACATATTTGTTTATCTCTCATCACTTGTTTCTTGATATTAAATTGACATTGTAAGGAGAAATTCAGTCTTGGTGATCGTTGCCACTCACAAAAGTCAAAAGGTGAAGTTGATAGCTATACTACCGTTAAATACAATAATCAAAAGTAACTAGTTAAGATTGCCATAAGCTGGCTTTTATATACAATCTTCCTAGTCATAGCCTGACTAAAAAATATTTCAAATTAAATTTCAGGTTAATGCACCTTACCCTGAATCTTTCATATTTCTTCAGTAGGGACTTCACATCTTCATGCTGAAAAATGAAATGAACAGTAAAAGTATACATTAAAGGCTCTAGTTGAAATTCAAACCAGTGATGGTATAAACTGTTTTCTATACTATCACGAGTTGACAAAAGAACCAAAACAAGATTGTAAGAAAATACAGAAGTTTAACTCACAATGCTGTTCTCTGATGATTCAATCTCATCAGTGATCTTCATGTTTTCTATAAGTCTGGTGAAACAGTTAAGGATTGGCAAAGTCATTGAAGTGTTTGTACCATAGGAGAAGAGGGTTTTACACAAGAGCACAGGAGATAGTTACCTCTGCAAGTTCTTGGACCAAAGCCTTTCAATTTGGAGTCTAGGAGATCAACAAAAAAGGCCACCATGTCTCCCTGAAATACCCCAGTGTTCATAAATTTACACTAATGTTTGACTCTTTGACTTCCAAGAGTGACTAGCATCTAATTTATCCTTACAGTACAACCCTGAATCATACATTTAGGTCATGAGAATAAAAGAAGGAAATGACCACCTGCTTAAAAGGCTTGCAGTTGTTACATGTAGACAAGCTCTTCTTGACAGCACTTTAGGAAATATAGGGAGAGCAGTATGGAAAATATACATAATAATATATAATAGGGTGTAAATTAAGGGCTGCTTCTGTCCAATGGCAAGACTTCAAAACTGTTTGTTACTTGTATATGAAGATATTAATACATCCTCAAAATAAAGGGCATCCAAAATACTAAGAAAGACAAATCTATGATGTTGACACAGTAAGAAGGTTTTATCAAAACAAAATATCAAAATCTATAAAGGATACAGGTCCTTCTTTCTGCTTTCATATTCAGCTATTGATTTCTGTCTTGTTTTAATTTGAATCTGGGGAATTAAGAACAGTACACTGTTTAGTAAACTTTCCCTAAGATTTTAACCATGGGTATGTCTTTTACCTGCTTCCTGCAATCTGTAAAAGTTTGCCTAAAATTTTGAACATACCATTAAATCTAATATTTGTGGATAAAGAAACACTGCATATCTTTCTCAAAAATGTAACACAGTGATCGGGCTACAGCACTACTGAGAAATGAATATTACTAGATAAATAGTTTATTTTAATGTATTTATTTATCTTTATTGCAATCTTTTTGTCCTGGAATTATTTGAGTTGAGCCAATTGACTTGAGGATGTAAACATGATGGAAACAGATGGGGAAGCAAACTGGAAAGGAAATGGGAGCAAACAAAGTGTGATAAATAGTGAAGAGGGGAACAGGGTTGGCATAGTGGTGAGAGCACTTGCCTTCCACCAATGTGTCTCAGGTTCGATTCCCGGACCCAGTGTCCTAACTGGATTGAGTTTGTTGGTTCTCTACTCTGCTCCGAGAGGTTTTTCTCCGGGTACTCCGGTTTTCCTCTCTCCTCATAAACCATCATCATTTAGAGTTTATTTGCATTTACACACGACCCCACAAGCTGTTCAGCTTTAAACATTATCATGTCTAAATAAAGGTGTCATTATTATTATTATTATTATTATTATTATTATTATTATTATTATTATTATTATTATTACCATTATTATTATTCCCCACTGATTTCCACCCTGTGTGAAAATATGCAAAAGTTTGTTGCTGGTTGTGATAATGATGATGATTTTTTAAAATTTTTTCACTGATGTTGTTAAACAATACTAAATTACTACTACTGCTGCAAAACAAGTTCAAACTCTTGTTTCCTACCCTTCCCCTTTCAAATCTGTGTGGAAATAAGCAAACATTTATTATTGCTACTGATCAAAAATGTTCTTAATTTTATTGTTGTTTGTTTGTTGTCATTGTTTGACTTGCTTAGGTATAAATATAATCATATCCAGCTGTAAGTCAAATGAACATGCATTAAGATAAGATAAGATAAGATAAGATAAGATAAGATAATGACTTTATTGGATAACACAATTACTGGTAGAACCAGTAGTTGTCATTGTGGTCCATTGTGGTGCATTGAAACTGAAATTCCTAGCCCTGGATTAATACTGCTTTATACATAGAATAGCTTGGCCAGAACACTTATTACGAAATACCTTTAATACTGACAGCACATTTTGCCTTCGCCTCTCCTCACCATCGTCAATAACTGGGCCGGGTTTTTTCGTCCATGGGTGATTTCAAACTGTAGAGCAAGCCGTACTCGTGGCTGCACTAAATGGCCGCGGTCCTCTTTTCACTGTTTCTTCTCGTGAAAGTCCAGGAGCACTTCCAACAGATACCATAGTTTGCCCAGACAAAGGACGACTGGCACTTCTTCTGGTCTGTCTTTCGTTCTGAAATCTTGACTGCCTAGTGCGTTGCCATGGTTTATAATCACCAAAATTGACGGCAATTTTGCCTTCTAAAGTTTTAAGAAGTGGGTCGTTCTTGAATTGTTCCTTTGAGTTGAGTCTCTGAACTGCTTGCTTACCCCATCCTCTGGGGCTTGAAAGCGCAGTTTGCCCACTTCTTTGAGAGTCGCTCCGAGTTGAACGATATATCGTGAATCCTCCAGCAGTCGCCATGTTGGTTTTGTTTTATCGTCATGCATCAGGAAAAAGATAATTGAGTGTTCGTTACATGACATACTATATGTCGCTCTCTCTAGTGAGGGTGGCACGGCAATCAACGCGTTTGGCTGTAAAATTTATTGAATCGTCGACCGCAATCGATAGTCGTAAACGGTCACAAAACGGGCTACACAAACGATGAAAAATTCTGTGCGAACCAAACACTAAAAAAAAGAGATTTCACAAACAACGAGGGCGCACCAGTAAACACGTGTGAGACTGAAGCATTTAAATCATGTGACTAAGCGCGCACGTACGTAAGGGTCACAAGGCGTAACGCAATGGAGAGACAAGATAAAATGAAATGAATACAACAATAGAAAGAATAACAAAGAAAAACGTCACATCCTGTAAGACCAAACACTCTCAGTGGTCATGAAAATGGGGGAGGGTTTCGTAACATTAGTGTTCCTGTTCAGCTTACAAATTGCTTCTGGAAAACCACCGCACATAGTGTTCATTCTGGCCGATGATTATGGCTTTAATGATATCAGTTATCACAATCCACTCATAAAAACTCCTTTTCTCAGCAGTTTGGCAGCCCATGGAGTGCGCTTGGAGAACTACTATGTGCAACCAATTTGTACGCCAACTCGAAGTCAGCTTTTTTCCGGTAGGTATCAGATTCACACTGGCTTACAGCACGGGATAATCTGGCCATCTCAGCCGAATGCATTGCCTAAAAATGAAACTACGATCGCGAGTAAGCTGAAAGAGAGTGGCTACAGTACTCACATGATTGGAAAATGGCATATTGGATTCTACAAAAGAGAGTTCATTCCAACTCAGAGAGGTTTCGATTCGTTTTTTGGATACTTGACGGGTGGAGAAGATTACTATACTCATAATAATACCTTCGGATATCCTTCAAGCGAATACGTTGTTCTAAACGGGTATGACATGCGGAGAAATGAAGAAGTCGCTGCTGATGTTGCAGGGAACTATTCAACATTCCTATTCACTGATGAAGCAGTTAAGATAATTTCTTCTCACGATCCAGATACACCTTTGTTCCTTTTTGTCGCATATCAAGCTGTTCATTCACCCCTGCAGGTACCTGAACAATACACAGAGATATACAAAGATATTGACAACCATGCTCGCCGCACCTATGCAGGCATGGTTACCTGCATGGATGAAGGGATTGGTAACATAACAAAGGCCCTACAGGAACATGGCTTGTGGGATGACACAGTACTTTTCTTCAGTACGGACAATGGTGGACAGATATTAGAAGGCGGTAACAACTTTCCTCTGCGTGGATGGAAAGGATCACTGTGGGAGGGTGGAATGAGGGGTATAGGTCTTGTGTACAGCAAACTGTTATCAAAACCTGGACAGGTTAATTCAGAACTAATCCATGTCACTGACTGGTTTCCAACAATTGTCCACCTATCAGGAGGTTCCATTGAGGATCTACCTTTAGATGGTTACAATGTTTGGGAAACTTTGAGTAATGGAGAACCTTCACCAAGGAAGGAGATCTTGCATAATATTGACCCCATTGATGCCTACTGGAACTCTCACATTGAGCCATATAAGCACTGCAGACAAGCTGCCATACGAGTTGGTGATTGGAAGCTCTTAAGAGGATGTCCAGGGAATGGAAGTTGGATTCCACCCCCAGAGAGTTCTTATCCCATTGAGTATGCACCAAATTATTTTGATAATATAAACAGTACCTTCCTTTTCAATATAAGAGAGGATCCAGAAGAGAGAAATGAACTTTCAAAGGTTTATCCAGAGATGGTGAATACTTTAATGCTTAGGCTCAAGGAGTACAATGCCACAGCTGTACCAGTGCGTTACCCGGCCCCAGATCCAGCATCTTTACCAGAGCTGCATGGTAATGTATGGACTCCATGGGTGCTGTAAAAAGAAGAATTTGTCCAAGGCTCAGCAAGGCTCAAATGTATTTTTAACACTGACTTCTTGTCCAATCTCTTTAACTTATATAGTAATTAGTATTTGAGCAATTTCCAATTGAGTATGGAAAGTAATCATGGATTGGGTTTTTTTTTTTTTTTTGCATCACTTTGCTCTGCTGATCTCTTGAACAATCAAATTCATTTATGAAAATGGTTGTGATGGTTACTCATGTTTTCCGGGGCAATTTATTTGTTTTTACTTTGAACTCACTGTTTCCTTATGGTAGCATATTAAATGAGACTTACCTTCAAGTTTCTTTTTATTATTCCCTCCAAATATGTCACAGAAATAAATACTTTTTTTTGTTGACTTTCTTAGTCACCATGGCAGTGTACCTAATGCAAGTTTCTAAGAACATTTATGGTTTTCAAACTCAAATCAACTCTAATTTTCGTGTACTGGAGGCTAATGAACAACATATTCAAATAAATAATATTTTGAAAAAATTATTATATGCCACTTAATTTATGATTAACAATTTGTATATGGAATTTAAAAATTATGAAATACACAGTTTTTATGGAAGATTTTGTAATCAATAAAAGGAATTTTGTAAATATCTTAGGTGCACATTGTAATTATTTAGAGGTGATATTTTCATAGGTGAGAAATAAACTTTAACTTCACTTGAATTTTAAGGGGTGATAAGATGGATTTGACTTTAAACCCTTCCCCTCTTCGTTGGAAGAACACGGGCAACCCAAGCTCATGACACTTTTCTTACAAAAAGGGGTAGTAACATTTCTGTTAGAGAAACTTTTTCGAGAATCGATCAAGTGCTATTGGAAAAAATACCGGAAATTGTTAATTTTCTCATTCTTTTCAAGAGAGGTGCTCTTGTCGTTCTTTTAGAGCGTACGAGAAGGCACCTGTCAGCTCCGATCCTTTACTCGACCCAGTGTCCCAAGATTTTCTAACCCTCGATGCATGTTGGGAAATGCAAATAATTTGTGTTTTGTGACCGTCCAACCTCCTGTAAGTGTTCTGTGATCTATGCCAATATGCTAGCGGAATCATGGCGAAGTGCATAGCGATTTGGCTGCAATATGGGTACTTACGTTCAGCTAAAGCAGGAGGACTACTCTGAAGAGGATAGCGATGTAGGGATGATGTCCACTGTAATTTCGTCGGCAAAGGCTTCCTCGCTATCGGTCGAGGAAGTTTTGAAACAATTTCGGAGTGATCCGGTACATGGTTTGAACAACGATGAGGTTGAGAGAAGAAGAAAGCTCCACGGGCTGAATGAATTCGATGCGGTTGAGGATACCCCGCTTTGGAGGAAGTACATAGACCAGGTTTGAAGTTTTCTCTACATGTTAGACAGATGATTTACTAATCATGTCGCCACTACAGAAATATTTACCACTAAAACCTTGAAATGAAGCAGCGAATGAAGTGAAATTTACAAACTACCGGGATGAATTCCAAGAGACTTACTTTGTTTATGGTTTAAACTTAGCATTTCTGTAAGTGTGGTTTTTCAAATCGAAACTGTTGAAAAGAAGTCGTAGAATTTGTAATTCAATGTGGTGTGAATTTTCGTGGTGACATTAAATTATGTAAGCTGAACATGAATTTTAACCTGTCGGAAGTTAGTTTTATTTTACAAAAGTTTTCTGTTATTTAAATTGGGAGGTTTCAGCGTTAATTCACATACGATTAACTAGATATACACGTATTTGCTCCCATATACTGGTACTGTTTGAATCTAGTATAATAAATTCACTTGAAAACATTCGCGTTTGTTTGGTCAGGTTTATGCAACTGGGCTTTCTCTTGGTAATATTCATGATTATGAATGACAGTTCTAATTATGTAGACAAAATTAATGACACAAGAACAAATGCACGCTAGAATATTATTTTTGCATGACAATTGTACCGTTTTGGCTATTGATAGCTTGTTGACGATTTGCACTTACAAGTTTGTTTGCATGCTTATTTTCAAAAAGCTTAGTTGAAACTTTTCACAAGAACGGTTTCCAATACATTCACCTATTTTCTTGCTATTAACCGAAAGCACACCATAGAAACTGTGGGAATTAAAGTTTGCACTTCATCTGGAAAAAAATGTAATGTCCAAAATGTTCAATTTTGTATCATTCTTAAAACGATTGCATTCTGTTCTATGAAAAAAAATCTAAAGAAACAAATAATATTATTTTTATTTCTACGGTTATATCATGAAATGAATTTTAACCGAGTCTATCTATAGTTTCCAATGTCAATTTAAACATGATTTTAAAAATGCCAAATTTGCTGTGATGAAGCCATGGTTACTGTGGAAATCTTTCAAACCTGATTGTTAAAATTTTTTTCCTAACTGTAGCTTTATAAAATGTCTCTTCTTAGTACTTAACAATGACTCTCCATTCATCAAATTTTTATTATTGATATAAATGGCTCCTTAAGACTTCAGTTATACACTGTGTTCATCTTTGAAATTGAAAAAAAAGCCCACAGTCCAATTATTATGTTAATTAACATGTCAGAGTTGTTAAGAATCAGCTGTAACTCTGTTTATTTATTTATTTGGTATTTCCTTTTTTGAATGATATACAAACTGGTCATGTGTGGAAAATAATGGTTTTTAATTAAGTAAACTCCCAAGTGCTCTGTAGTATATTGTTGGGCTTTGGCAAAAGATAAAAGCATTGAAGGCCTTTGAATTTGGAAGTCTCTCTAAAAAGTTGATCTCTTGGTGCTAGTACTGTTGAAACCTTCTTGTCAATTATTTCTTTCATATAGAATAACATTAGCTTACTAATTTTGAGGTGTGTTTTTTTTATTAACTGGTGCAAAAAATGTGGAGGTGTCAGCTATTTTTTTAGCCTTGATGAAACTCAACATTTTAGTGCTAGTGTTAGTTTGATACAGATAGAGAAAGAATTTAATTTCTTTATGTAATGAGAATTGTAACATGACTTAAGATCCTATTTTTTTGAGAATTAATTTGCTATGGTGAAGAATGACATTTTCTTTTTCTGTTACCATCAATCTATAAATAAACACGGTCAAATTTTTTCTTTTAGTTCAAAGAGCCCATGATAGTATTACTTCTAGCATCAGGGCTGGTCAGTGTAATCATGGGACAATATGATGATGCCGTCAGTATTACAGTGGTAAGGAAGATTTATTAACAATATTATTTAGTTCTTATTAACCGAGTGGTAGGTCTGTATGGGAGAATCTTGACCGAGGTCGCCAGTACAGACCGAACACAGTGTGGTCTGTACCAGCGACTAAGGTCAAGATTCTCCCATACAGACCAACCTGGCTCAGTTAATAAGATGTTTATTATATGGCTGTGTCTTATATGCCAATTTTTTATATTCTTCGTACCTTTTTTTTCTAGACCAGTCTAGATGCTGGTCTAGATGGGAAAATCTAGACCGCTTTCAATATTGATTTTAGCCAATCAAATTCATGAATTCTGTAGTTCCCAGTCCTTGTGAGACACAGCCATATAATAACTAGGCATATTACAGTGGGGAATCCAGACCTTGAGCTAGGGGGGGAGCCCATTTTTTTGTGTGTTTATACACCTGCTGGCTTTTCTTCCTTCTGTGTTTATTTTTTACCCAAAGTAAAGGGGAACCTTGGGTCACTCAGAGCCCTCCCCTAGATCCACCACAGTACTGTTATAGCAGTATTTCATAGAAGCAAACCCCTGCCTGGATAAAAAATATTCTCCATTGAAAGAGGTGTTGTTGGTTGGAAGGTTGAAACCCTGTGCATTAAGCACACCCCATGTTCACCACACAGCTTAATTGCAATAGGCAGATTCAGGTTCATGTCTAAATTGTTATTTTGAGGACAACGCCACCAATATGAAGTGCTCCGGTCACTCAAAACATTTTTTAGGCAAAATGCTTGATGTACTTGTATCACTGTCAGTGATGTTTTCATGAGATTACAATGATCATCTGGAATCTCATTTTAACAGGGAATACTTCTTATCCCCACAAAGTCCTCAGAAAATATTAATTGATTTTGTTTATTGCAATGGAACTGAAAATTATTTAGAGATGTTATGTGGTCAACCATCAAGTGAATGATCACAAATTTTTTATATATCTAATTTATTTAATATGCACCAAACTTTTCTTATTTCTCAGGCTATCATTATTGTTGTTACAGTAGCTTTTGTCCAGGTATGTACAAAAAACTTTTATATCAATTTGAGAATTAGACAGTGTAGCTGCCCGTTTTGTGTGCTCAGAAACAATGAGGTGTGGCTTAGAGAGGGTGAAAGATAATTATCTTTTTCACTCAGAGCTTCAGCATTCATTTATTTGTGCGACAAAACGGTTAAGTGCACAGAAGTACCTGGTACATATCAAGCTATTTGGGAACTGCAGTGACAATTAGTAGTCAGTGCACTATACTTAAATCAAGAGGTCTGTGTTTAAACCCCGGCCGGGGGGATTTTTGTTGTGTTTTTGGGAAAAGTAATTGACTCTGACAGTGTGTATCTCCCGGAGGAGTATGAGTGGATATCAGTGGTTCATGCTATTTTACTACATCGTAGTTTATCAATAATGCTTGAGTTTGTGGTACACCCAGAGGTTAGTGTACAGAACTCTGTATCAAAAGTCTGAGCTTGATTGGGTCACTGTGTTGCATTTTATGGATTGATTTAGCACATTATTTAACTTTCACAGTGTCCCTTCCTCCCCTAGAGGACAAATTAGTGCTCAGCTAGCATTTAACTGTAAGGGAAACCTTGGGAAATGTTTTGGAGGGGTGGGAGAGAGGTAGGAGAAGAGAGAAACGTTGAAAGAAATGGCATCCTAACAAAAGGGGAGTAGCATTGCTCATTGTTGCTTCATGCAGTTGAAAGCATGTGAAGTCATGGTAATCTGTGCCATTGCTCATAGTAGCTTCATGAAGCTGAAACCTTGGAAAATGTTACGGGGGGGGGGGGGATGGGTGGGAGGAGGAGGAATAGAGAGAAACTATGAAGGGAGTGGCATCCCAACAATAGAGGAGCTGTATTACTCAAAATTGCTTCACGTAGCTGAAACCATGTGAAGTCATGTCTAGCTGTGCCATATTTCTTGTAAGCTGGCCCCACCTTTTAACTTTGTTTTGTCTTCACCGAGTTTTCCTTCCTCCTGTCAAATCATATCGGTCATGTTGAGCTATTCAGGTGGCTGTGTGCTTTGAATGAATTTGATTAAAAGTATTATTTAATAATTGAAGTTAACAGGATTACCCTATTGTTTCAGGAATATAGGTCTGACAAGTCAGTGGAAGCCATAAAAAAACTTGTTCCTCCAGGGTGTCACTGGTAAAAAATATTCATTTTTCTTTGATCTCAAATGCTGACAGACACAGCTGTAGAAGATATTATACTGAACCTGTAAATAATGTGAAGGGATGTGAAAATTGTCTGCGAGAGATCATAGGGTTTTATTTGTCTTGTGGAAAAGAGAGCTCCTAATTTTTTTCCCATCTAACATAACACTTCATAGCCTACATGCAATTGGGTTAAGCTCTGTGTCGGTTAGAAACCTTTTCTATCCTAAAATGTTTTCCACAGTAGCTAAAATGCAATGAGCAATGCCTAGAGAGATCATTCTAAATTAGCATTTTGTTTTTTTTGTAACAAGGAAAATTATCATACATCATCTCTTTGGTATACATTAATTCTTTAAAACTTCTATTCCAATAGTATATTCTTTATTCTTTTTAACACAGCATCAGGGAAGGAAAAGTAGCAGACTTTCTAGCTCGAAGTCTGGTCCCAGGGGACCTAGTTACCATATCAGTAGGAGATAGGGTTCCAGCAGATTTAAGGCTAATAGAGGTATGTTGAATGTGTCATCAAGAGGCAATAATTGGGCTTCTTACCTTCTGCTTTCAGCCATATATACAGTTCATTAATTAACTGGCACGAGTGACAAAGGCAGAAATTCTCATTACAGTTACATCAAGTACACAAATCCAATGCCAAATTCTCTAAAAACATCATAAGAATTATAAGGCACCCAGTAAGGAAAATTATTAGACATTTTAGCAGTTCAAGGGTTAAGGGAAACTAATTTAACCCTTGAGCTCCCAGAAGTGATTTAAAACATGGAACTTCTCCCAATAATATCCTTCTATTATCTTGCAAACAGGTAGTGAGAATACTCAAACTTATCAGGTTGAAGTTGTCATCTTGATTGAACACCAAATTCTCCTAACCAATTTACAAGGAAATGTGTAGCAGCCAGAAAGGAGAATTAATAGTCAGACCTTCGGAGTTAAAGGGTTAATTTAATGCTTTTGAGAAAGACATTTTTGCCATTTTACCAGGAGAGTAAAAGTACCAATTTTTAAGTTTTACACCAAAAGGAGTCATTTTTCTCATTTGCCATAGCCACAAACACCATACTTTAACTCGTCATTGCTGCATTAATTATCACATTTAGGACAACATGTGTTACCTGTAAATTATTTTTTAAAAAACAGTATTGATGGTTACATTTATTTGACTGATCAAGGTGGTAAAAGAATCTAATTATTCAAATGATTTTCAATGTTTAAAGAAACATGATGCGATTAATGATGTGAGTTTTTGTTCTTTGATTTTCAGGCTGTAGATTTAAAAATAGATGAATCAAGTTTTACTGGCGAAACTGAACCAGCATGTAAAACATCTGAGGAAGTTCCTCCTTCCAAATCCAGTGGAGGTATCTCTGAAAGAAGAAATATTGCTTTTATGGGTACTCTAGTTCGCTGTGGACGTGGCAAGGTGTGTATGTAGTTGTAGTTGTAGTTGATCATTGCCAGCTCTATTTTCTTCAGACTGCAAAATAATGTAAACTCAGAAATCAATCTGGAAATATAAAGTTCTTTGGCCAATCAAAAATGTCTTGCATCAAGAGTTAACCATTCTGTGTCTTGGATTACTTTGATATTTAGTCATCATTCTTTTTGCTCAGGGCATTGTCACTGGGACTGGAGAAAATTCAGAGTTTGGTGAAGTGTTTAAAATGATGAAAGCAGAGGAGGTTAGTAAGAAAAATGGTATTGAAAAGAGTTTATAAAATATTGGTAAGTTCATATTCATTGTATTGCATCTTTTTTTTATATCGCAGAGTAAGGTTGCTTGGTATACATGATAATAAAAGAAATTACAGTTGGTGTTTCAATTTAATTTTCTTCTTTTCAGCCTCCAAAGACCCCTCTACAGAAAAGCATGGATATCTTAGGGAAACAATTATCTTTTTACTCACTTTGTATCATAGGTGAGTATTTTCTTCTGAGTTCTATATTTATTTAATATGGTTGAGATAAAAGTAGATTAAAATTTTTATCTTTGGTAAGGCAATTTTACTTTTGTGCACTAACAAAATCTGTTTTTGTCTTGTGTTTAAAGCTCTTATTATTCTTTTGGGATGGTTGCAACAAAGAGCCATTTTAGAGATGTTTACTATTGGTGTTAGGTTAGTAAAGATTGGCGTAAAAGTTTATTTTTGAAATATTTCTCTTTCCATTCAAGATTGGCAAAGTTTTTTTACATTTCATAAGATGGATATTCATCCCCTTTATACTTTGTACATTGTGTATGTTTTCTTGGTGAATCAATATAAGTAACCTGGAGTTATTGCTTCTGATTGAAAATAAACTTTGAGGTTGTACTCAGGGTCTCTGATGGACATGAATCACCTAAATGAACAAACCTGGGATTGGCTCTTTTGAACCCCTTGAGGAAGCTTTAAAAAAAAAAAAACCCCTTTATCCATCTCCTTCCCTTGTGGTACGTCCTTTGTCATTTTCTCGTCACATCACTGCTGTCTACCATTTTCTTCCCAAGTTTATTTCTTGCACTTCTTGTTCAAAAAGGAAATGTCTAATTGAATTTCAACTAAAAATTGATGATAAAGAGGTACTTTGCTCTCTTGATGACACAAATAATTATAAATCCTCATTTTAAAATAAAACAAACTGGCCCCAGTTGTTTGAAGGTCAGGTAATGCTATCCACTGGATATCCAGTGGATAACACTATGTCACTATGTTTTTTGCCATCACTTATCCACTGTTTAGGGATTTTTCTGTTGGATAGTGTTATTGGCCCTTCATACAACTGGGCTCTGATAGTGATCATGATAATTCATAATAACATAATATTATTGTAATTTTTCCCTTTTCAACAGCTTGGCTGTAGCTGCCATTCCAGAAGGTCTCCCCATTGTAGTTACGGTTACTCTGGCTCTGGGTGTGATGCGCATGGCCAGAAGGAATGCCATTGTAAAGAAACTCCCTATTGTAGAGACTCTAGGATGCGCAAGTGTTATTTGATCTGACAAGACTGGTACACTGACCAAGAATGAGATGACAGTAACACAGATATTTACTGCTGATGGTCACTATGCAGAGGTTAGCTTGGTTTTGTTAAGGGGCATTTACACTAGACAAATGCATTTTAGAGAAAAAAGTGTTGGCCCTCTACATCGGATAAGCAAATTTGTAAAATATTACTCCTTTGAAATAAAAACTTATATATTTTGGATTTATCTTATGCTTAGAAGAGTCCCTGTTCTGAAATAGGCATGTTGAATACGTTCTATTTTTTACTGGATAGTTTAAGTGGTATAATTTTGGAGAAGGATGATTAATTAATAAAAATTTAACCCGTTTCAATGAAATTATATTCTCATCAGGTATTCACAAACTCATCTTTACAACTACTTCTCAGTTGGTGTATTCCTTACATGTGGTTGGTTAGACATCATTTCACTGTATCAGTATTGCAGAACAGTTGTGCATTTAAATCTCCTTTAATCTAAATTTTTCCTTAGCTTTCATTTTGCATTTGTTTTGTTGTGAATGTAACTGCAATGATCTTTCCCACTGTGAGATCCCTCTATACTTCTGTGACTTTATGGTGAGACAATTCCTCAATACTGACCTTTTTCCCAGAGAGGGAGATTTTTGGGGGATTTTTTTTCCTAAATTATAATTTGGCTTCTTCTCAGGTGTCTGGAGTAGGATACAATGGGTGTGGTCATGTAAGCATTTCTGGCCATAATCTGACACCAAACACCAACTTGTCTGTCACAAGAGTTGTTGAGGTAAGACCTGCCTAGTCACTGTGACCTGTTCTAGGCTCGTGGTCAGAAGAGATGAGTGAAAAGTGGGTGTGCAAATAAAAGTGTTCCCAAAATAAGTTGGAGTGTAAAACGAAAACTTTTACTTTGCACAAAAGGTACTTGAGGCAGACAACTCCTATTTTAAAAGTACACACTCGCGAGATTTCCAGGGTTGCCACTTTAGTTCTAGTCTTGTTGTTCATAGTTCTGAATTTGTTTGTTTTTCCTAGGTTGGTTATCTTTGTAACAATGCTCAAATTCAAGATGGATCCCTCTTTGGCCAACCAACAGAGGGAGCCCTCATAGCAGTTGGAGAAAAGGTATTACTGGGCATTTTATCTGTATTAGAGCTTGACATGTTGCAGTATTTGCCACACAAAATGGTGTTGTCCGATATTGAGATAAACACGAAGCTTTTCCAGTATGTGATCAAACTCGATAATCTGCACATCTTTTTTTCTGAATAGCTTGGTATTGATGACCCAAGAGGAATGAACTCACGCACTGCCGAAATTCCTTTTAACTCAGAGAAAAAGTGGATGGCCGTTAGATACAAGCAAAAGGTGAGAAGTCTTAGAGAAAGGGTCTGACGACAAGTTGTCAAATTATCTTGACATAACCTACTGACCAAGCTTTTAAACAAAGAAATAACATAACAGGTTGATAATATCCAAAAACCTCTACCCAATAATTCCATATCCCATGCAGGACAATTCAGAAATGTATTACGTGAAGGGAGCACCTGAGAGAGTGTTGCAGCAGTGCAGATCATGCCACAGGCAAGGGTCTCTTGTTCCTCTGACAGCAAGAGATCTGGAGATGTTTAATGACGCCGTGTCTGCTATGTCATCTAGAGGATTGAGAGGTATTCATCTCGTTTCCATGTTTTTTTTTATTTTAATCTTGTTCTCTCGTACGTACTGAATGTCGCCGAGAAGAATTCCCCACTGTGTTCCCAGCTCTACAGAGATCCAGCTTCAGATTGGCTCAGAGAGCTACTTTACAGTTTGTGCACATTGGAAGTTTCAGCTCAAATTTTTCAACTTCATAATTTGTAATCTGTGTTCATTTTCTCTATCTTTAACCATAATTGTTCCTTCTTGGTTCATCGTTGCTTCTTTACCCTCTGCACCCTAACATCAGTATGTATATTCTCCATACTGTTCTCTATACATTTCCTAAGACGCTTACAAGGAGAATCTGTTTAACAATCAAGAGCCTTTTTAGTTTGTGATCGTTTCCTTTATTCTCGAGACCTAAATGTTTGATTGGGTGGTGATATCGTAAGGAGAAATTAGATTCAAGTCACTCTTAGAGGTCACATTCGAAGTCCTCCTCGTTCCTACTTGGTTAAGAGCTGTTTTCAACTGAGTTTTGAAAGTGATCCTGGGTTGGTTTGGTTTTGCTTTCCTTCGCTCTGTGATTGATCTAGAAAACTCGCGGCACCATCTCATCCAATCGAATGCAAAATTGAAACACTCACCTTGGTCACCTGCGTTTCCCACGCTTCAGCAGTTTTCAAGTGCGTATCGAAAATGATCGTGCGTTGCTCTGTGATTGGTCTATGAAACTCTCGCCACCGTCTAAACCAACCGAATGCCAATTTAAGACCTCTCAACTTGGTCACCCGCGTTTTAGGCACTCTGCCTGTTTTTTTTGCTTTGATTTCTCACAATTGGTCAATGATAACGGTAACCTTCTTTGTTCTAGTCGTTTATAATCCAAAATAATCTTCCTCCGTAATCATACTGTTACCGTTCACTGATTTAATTCCTACCCCAATCCTCTGTAGACGTATCATTATGGAGCTATGCACAGAATATTAGACGGTGCTAAGAAAATTTACCGTTTTGGGGAAGAGAGTTGTTTACTTTCTCACTTACTATGTAACTTTCATTATATATGTGTCTACCAAACTGCCCTGACCATGCTCCAACTGTTCATTTTAACTTTGAAATTTTCCAGAATGAGACTAACAGCAGCCTTAGTTTCGTTTGCTTGTTTGTTTATTTATTTATTTATTTATTTATTTATTTATTTTCAGTCATAGCCCTTGCCATGGGAACTGATCTACAACAGTTGTCATTCCTGGGTATCATGGGTTTGTTGGACCCGCCCAGACCAGGAGTCCGTGAAGCTGTGCATACACTGTTAGAGAGTGGAGTACATGTCAAAATGCTGACAGGAGATGCGCGGGAAACTGCACTCACCATAGGTAACTGTAAATACAGTATTCTTTAGTAGAGTGTCTTCATATGGTTATGTGATTGGTAAAGAAAGTTCCCGCCACATCGTCAACCAATCAAATTTAAAAAAAATAAACTCAGTTGAAGCTTGTCACATGCGTTTTCCCGCCCTTTGCGCCTTGTGCTTCTTTGAGTTCTCATTGGCTCCTTGTTATGTTTTCCTTTGCGTTGATTGGTTAATTTATTTACTACTAGGGCTTTGGATTTGTTTGTACGATTCTCAATCGAAATTTGATCAAATTAAAAATACGTTTCAATACTTTCTTTGAGGTAGCTGATGCTATGAACAGGTAGCCTCAGTACCGTTAGCTCTTCACGAACGTTTCCCGCGGGAAATAATTAAGCCTTGAGCAACGCGAGCCGGCGAGGGGTCTGGAAAGGGGTCCAACACTGTAGTGCCAGACCCCCACTAAAACTTTCTCTGCCTCGTCTCAAATCCTTCAGCGGAGAAATGCCCGTCTTGCAGCGCTAATAATGATGGCATGCTCCAAGGCTAATAACAGGCGAGGTTGACTGACGGGTGACTTCTCTTTGCGATTCTTATATAATATGTTGCGAACAGGTTATTTGAATAGAAAAGCTCATCAACTATAGGCTGTACTCTTGTTATTACACCAAATTCTCCTGGCTAATTCAGAAGGAAGTTTGAGGCAGTTAGAGGGGAGAATTACTCATTTGATCTTGGGAATGAAAGGGTTCAATTGTTTTTCTTCCAGCGGAATTATTAGGAATTCATGTCAAAGGAAGGTTGACGCTTTCGGGAGAAGAACTAGAAACAATGGATAGCTTACAACTAGGAGGCGCCATAGAGCAGGTAAAGTTAGGTGGTTATACATGTCCTGCTCTTCGGTTTTAATGGTCTTGATCATGTTTTTGATTTTGGTTTGTTGATCCCTCTCAACAGGTATCCGTATTTTATAGAGTCAGTCCCAGACATAAAGTTGCCATTGTTAAGGTAAATTAAAGAACGATTTGTAGACTCTTTATCCCTTCATTCAGCGTTTCTGTACATCACCGGAATTTTCTGCGTGTGACATCAGGCGTAAGAGCAATTTTCAATTGAGTGTTGAAAGTACTGCGTGTCTTTTCATTGGTTTTACTCCGCTACGTTTTGTGATTGGCTCAGAAAACTCACGCCACTTTCTCAACCAACCAGATGCAAACTTAAAATCGAGTGACTGTTGACATATATTCACATGGAGTTCCCTTTGGCTCCTTGAGCTGTGCGACTCTTTTTAGTTGATGAGCGCCTAATTCCAGTTTACTCTTTCGCGTAACTAATTACCCGTGTTGCCCCGTAGGCTCTACAGCAGCGTAATCACGTGGTGGCTATGACTGGTGACGGCGTAAATGACGCAGTAGCTCTGCGCCGGGCTGATATCGGAGTAGCTATGGGCCGAGCGGGGACTGATGTGAGTAAGGAAGCGTCAGATATGGTGTTGGTGAATGATGACTTCTCTACCATCCTGGCCACTATTGAGGAAGGCAAAGGAATATTTTAGAACATACGCAACTTTGTCCGCTTCCAGCTAAGCACGTAAGTACGAGTTATATCTCGAATGCGTTCTGGCGTAAAGGAATTTCCGTTAAATGACCCTGGAAACAGAGTTGCATACCTGATTGAAGATGCCTCGGCTTGAAAAAGAGGTTGAAGAAGACTCTAGTCCATCTGCATTGAATTAATCACAATGTCATAATTTGTTTTTCCATGTAGGAGTATCGCTGCTATATCGTTGATCACAATATCGACGTTTCTAAAGTTACCCAATCCTCTGAATGCCATGCAGATTTTATGGATTAACATCATTATGGATGGACCACCAGCCCAGAGGTGAGAATCAGTATTTCTTCGTTGTTGTACTCTGACTGCATTTGGCGCCACACTCAGCCCGTGAGAATGATTTATAATATATCTCAATGCGCGGGTTCAAGTTCATTCAAACCGGGTTTCTGACGGTCTTCCACCGCCTATAAGACATCTTACCACAGACTGTTGAGCCTGCGAGAAGGTTCTCTTGCACGGCTGCCTTAGTATCACACAATAGGCAGCCGCTTATGGAAAAAGTCATCGAAACCTCTGTCAGTGGAGAGCAAGTTACCACGCTAAAATTTTCCGCTCGACTTCTTCCTGCTAACGAGGTCTTATTCCGTTCTTTGTAGTCTTGGCGTGGAGCCAGTTGATCGGGACGTCATGAATAAACCCCCACGGAATGTCAAGAACCCAATGATTACCAAGACCCTGATATCCAACGTTCTTCTCTCTGCGAGCCTGATAGTGACTGGTACATTGTGGGTCTTTTGGAGAGAGGTAAGGTCTCAATCCTTGAGCTCCCATTACTGATTACATTGGAGCATCCCCTCGCAATTTCAATAAGTTTCTCGGCAAATCTTGATAAAACACCAAATTCTTTTGAATAGTTTGCAAGGAAATGTAAATTAGCTTCAAGGGACAATAAGTAATCAGGTCTTGGAAGTTAAAGGATACGGTGCTGTCACCCGCGCTACGTGATGTGTTTTGTCCGTTAGGCGCACTGTGTACTTGCACTTGTTAATTTAAGTCGTCACTAATGGAAAAAGCTCTAAAACTCTCATAAACCTTTTACGAGGAAAAATCAATGTATTTTTTCCTGAAATTCAACTACAGTGTGAATGCAAAACTTACGACTGAACCTTTCCAGAGTGGGATTTTTGTAACTTGGAGAGGCAATAAGCAGGCCCTGACTAAGATCTTTCAAATGCAATCAGACTACGCTTCTAACAAGTCTTTGGTCTATCGGTGGCCTAACTAAAACCTCTAGTTTAATTTGGGAGAAAAAGTGGCCGTTTTAGTACGGTTTTGATACCTCCTTTCTATGGTTGAGAGACCCTAACCTATTGTCTTCCACTAGAGAGAGAGCGGGTTGTTTCTCGTATGTGTTGAACACTTGCTCTGGTGCAAATTGTTTTCCATCTTATCTGTTGTAGATGAGAGATAACGTCATCACTCCTCGTGACACCACCATGACATTCACGTGCTTTGTGTTCTTTGACATGTTCAACGCACTTAGCTGTCGTTCTCAGGTTTGTACGTCATTTTTTTTTTTCTGTACTTGCCAGTCATTTACAGGTTCACACTCAAATTCAACGTGAAAGCTTAACCTGTAAAAGCTTGGCTGACAGCATATGAGGGTTACCGGAGTCTACTCCATATTCCAAATATTGGGAATCTCCTGGGTCTAATCCCATCCTCCATATGTCTGACACCTCTGTCCGGAAGTGAATCGGGAACATCGACCACCAGTGGACCGTTACTGAATTGTGTCCCTGTTCCTTGTGGAGGGTCCGTCAGGTTTTCGCAGTCAGGTGCACAACTTTTGAAATGCGCGTGCGCGGGAGTTTTAGGGGGTTCAAGTATCGCAGGAGATGGCTCAAGTAATTGCCAGTTCTTGTGGGTGATTTTTTTTTTTTTTTTCTTGCAAGTTTTGGCTGGTTTATAGTGTCATCCTAACACTGATCTGACCACTTTCTACCATTGAATGACAGGTGAAGTCTATCTTTCAAATTGGTTTCTTCACCAACCGTATGTTCCTGTACGCTGTTGGCGGGTCTCTCATGGGGCAGATGTTAGTTATTTACTTTCCCCCTCTTCAAGCAGTGTTTCTCACCGAAGCTCTACATTGTACGGATATTTTGTTGCTACTTTGTGTAGCCTCTTCTGTTTTTCTCGTGGACGAGATTAGGAAAATGGTGTTAAGAACGCTTGCAAGACGCAAAGAGCCTCCGAAGGACTTCCAGTTTTTTGTTTGACAAGTGGAGAGTTATCTCAAGTACTGGAGTAAAACGTTGGTGTTAATTGGACGGGTTAAACAATTTAAAGTTCAAACTAATTCGTAGCAGATGAAGAGAAGCGTCGATTTCTGTTTCAGTCGAATCTACTTTAATTATGTGAGCCCGTGGTGGTACGTTTTTGATCAGTGGGGTTGCGCAGCAACATAGGCTTCCCAATCAATCTTCTGACGAATGGTTGTCGATCAAGCAATGAGAAATAGTAACCTTAGTTAATGACTGCAAATGTCAATGGCTATGGTAAACCATTGGAAAACTTCCATGGAGTAATTGAAATTTTGTGTACACTTCTGGTATCCGTTTACCATTTCTTGTCTCACTTTAGACCTCGACTCAACAATAGTCTCCCACTGGTTTCTATGCCTTTCTCAAAATAGTTCTATGCAGATGAGAAATCATTTTCAGATGGAGAAATGAAAATCCCTCAAGGTAGATCACGTGGTCAAGTTTGTCCAAGGCTCCTTAGCTGTTATTGTAAATGAAGTATCTGTAATCAGGTCTCGCGAGATGTTGTGGATTATATTACGTTAGATGATCCAATAATAAATGGAAATTGTAAATAGACAGAAGGGTGGAAAATTACTTACACGATTTTATTTCTTTATTTCGCGCGTTGTCCCGCGTTAAGGACGTGTATCAACCCGTTCGTTTAAGTTCACAAATCTCCCGGAGAGCCCGAAGTATTATTTTTAAATCAAGATATAGCAAAAATGAAGTTTTTGGGTGCAAGGACCTTACTCCCTTATCGATAAAAGTGCAGCGGTGGAAGAGTAGAGAGGTTTATATTACTTAATAGCGGCGATTATGCTGTTTGATTAAAACATGGATTTTCTTTGGAGGTCGTGTTCTTTCAGTGAGGAAGGGTGGGACTACGATTTGCTACTGAGCACCTGAGCAAACGACAAAGTACTTCGAACTTAAACGAACAACATTAGACTTTCTTACGAGTGAAGAAATAACAAAGAATCAGGCAGTTTTAAGTACAATGCAGGCCCTCATAAAGGACACTTTTGGGTGCGTAACTAAGACTAGCCGCTCACGAGAATGGTTTTCGACCAAGTGTGGAAAGGGGAGACGGCCGTATAGGTGGTTTGCAACCAATCTCCAGAGACACAGGTAACAATGGTGAACGGAACAAATGCTGGTGGACGAACAAAAGTAGCTAATGAGATATCCATTGTTTACGTCCACCAACATGGCGGCCATGACGTAACGTGCAAACCACCTATACTGAGCCCGACTCGAATTTTGAAGGTTTTTTTCGGATTAAATCACAGTCTCGTTATCTATCGCCGATAGCACTGACCCACGAATGACCTAACTCGATTTGATTCATATGACCTTCACCCATTTGAAAGCCCTTTACGTGATCAGTTTCCGTTACGGATCCTCCTTTTTTATTTCTTTCTCGTTTCATATTCAGTCAGTCACCTTTTACTAAACAGTTACAGTTACTGCGATTGTTCATTACAAACCTAATTGGCATACCCTTTTTTCTCGAAAATATTTACAAAATATATTTGCAATTTGTTGAAAGTATTTGTGAGTAGATTCATGTTCCAGCCAAGTCATTTTGAATTTCAGTGAAAGCAGAAGTGAGTTTCTGCAGGCGTTTCTCTAAAGTTTTTTTGGTCAGTGCATTCTCTTGTAGAAGTATGCGCATCTCATCTTCCACTTCCGAGACCTGCAAAAGATATAGAACAATAGATTGTATTAATAATTTCATCTCGATTTCTTCCAAATAAAAAAAGGAAACGAAAAACATAACCTTTCAGTTTTTTTTTTCTTTTATTAACATCAGAACAAATTACTGGTACTTCAGTTTAAAGGCAAGGGGACACATATCGATACTTGATGGGTAAATGACGCAGCGATAATTCGTTTCTTGTTACATGATGAATTTGTGAGAGAATTTGTCCCTGCAACAAAACTATTTTTCCCCAAGAAGCCGCCCAAAATCCAAATTAATTGAATTTCTGCAATGATCGCAGTGTTGAAACGAGTCCAAGCGACTTGGTCTTTTCGAGCAGAGCTCAATGTCGCAGCTTGATGGCGCCTAATGTTTTCTGACCATAAAGATTATCAGTATAAAGTCCCAAGGTTTAGAGGGGTTCATCCCTACCAGACTCTGATTTTCTTTGCACCAAAAACATCCTGCCACCTTGTGCCTTCCGGGCCAAAGGTGCGCGACTTTTTCACGCTAGCGTTTGATTTCTGCAGAATGAAACCCATTTGGATTTTCATAGAGCACTGCCATATTTTTAAAGAAAGACGAAACAGCCATGATTCAGCCGAAGAAAACGTGCCTTGGTTGTGCAATAGTAGTGATGATCAACAAGATTTTCGGTTTTCTTTCCTTACCCTATTATTTGCTCGTTCTATCTCCTGCTGGTTTTCATTGGTTAGTGTCTGAAACTGTTGCTCGTGCGCCCGTCGTTCTTGTTCTAGCTGTTTGCGGAAAGCATCATCACATGCTTTTAATCTCTCTACGGCGGAACTGAGCGTTTTGAAAGAGACAAAAGTCGTATGGTTATAAAAAAAAAAAGTAATAACAAATACATCAGGTGGCAACCAGGTCAGAAACATGTTTACATGAGCGTCAAAAGGAATTCCGGATTGCTTTGGTTTTGTATCTAGTTTGCTCTACGATTGGTTAAAAAAATCGCGCTTTTCTCTCAACCAATCGCATGCAAACTAAAATCAATCACCTTTCAATCACTCAATTTTTCCCTAACTTCTTGACTTAATTTTCTCTGTGGATTTGCTGATGAAGTGACTCTCGCTTTGCTTCATCAACACTTAATTCTATGCACTCTAAGTTTCCTAGAGTTCTTGGCTAACAATAAATATAAATCAAACAACAACAGGCCTGAAATTTTTTTCAGGTCTGATTTTCACTATTGCTCAAATAGTGCTTTACTGCGAAGGATCGTGCTCATATACGTAAAATAAATATAAAAACAATACGAAGAAAGCTTTCGTCTACCAGCAAAAAAAATTCTGAGTGCTTACTCGGCCGCCTTCACAGCTTTGTCTCTCTCTTCAATCAAAGTGTTTTCCTTTACTTTAAAGTTATTTCGCATCTCAAGAACTTCTTTCTCCAGCTTTCCTATCAGTTCACTCTTTTCTTGCCATTTGGTTTTCAAAATCCTATTAGGACAGATGACATTTAGATCCTAAGTAACAAGTACAATTTTACATTGAAAAGCTTCCACTTACCTAAGCTACCGTTGACCAACACAGGAGGTGAAACATCACTCATAAAGTTGAGAAACTCGCAAATTCGTAACTTCTTATATACTTTAAATATAAAATGAAGTAAGGCGAAACTCTTCCGTCTTCCTAAAATGTACCTGTGTCAGCTTTTTTGGGGAAATTCAGTTTATTTCACAAGCGCAATACCTGATGACATACCTGTGATTTTCCTTACTGGTTTCTAACTCTTCCTGTGTTTTCCTCAGTTCTTGTTTGAGTGATTCCTTGCGGTCTACGAGTCCATCCAATTGTTCCTTTAACGTTTCAGCAAAAACAACAATTTTTAGCAAAATAGAACGCCTTTTGACGGTGTCTCGTGAAACAAAGCTCAAGGCTATCTCGACAACCAATCAGAACAACGTAAATATCAAGAGGAGCCAATAAGAATTCAAAGAAAATACAGGTACGCGGCTTCAAGTGCGGGAAAACTTAAGCGCTCGCTCTGCGACTAGTTTGGCAATGCATCTGATTGGTTTAAGTGGCACGAGATTTCTGGACCATTGAAATTGACTCCTTTGGACTCTAATCTGAACCCTTTTTTTTTCAAATGATCGGAAAGCAAAAGACTTGCCACGAGTCATAGCAAATGAGGTTTCACCCTTCAACTAACAGAGAACCTTACCTGTAACTCGTGATTCGTTGATGTCTCAGCAGCTAGCTGTTCTTCAAAGTTTTTCTCGCGTGTTTTGCTGTCTTCATTCCACTGGCGCAGGTCAGAGTCCTGATCTGCAATTTTCTAAAAAAAAGATAAAATTGTCATATATCACCATTGACAAGGGATGTATAGTTACTACCTGTGTGATTAAGGACTAACCTGTTTGAGCTTCCTGATGGAGTCCGTTTGATCCTCTATAACTTTGGCCTTAATAGCAATTGTTTCATTAGCACTCTGAAAGAAGAAGGGTGAGTGGAAACTTAAAAAAAAAAAAAAAAAAGGGTCAGCTGCAAGTTTGCGATAGGGATTTTAGTGGAACATCAGAGCAACTTCAATATTCGAAAGATTCTACACCAATGAAGCAACCAACATTAAGTATTAAAAGGCTCAAAAACGCATAAAGGAACGTGAAGACGATTGACTTGTTTCATCAAATTAACCACAGCAGCCGATAACGAAAATATACAAAGAAGGAGCCAATGGTAACCAGACTTCTAACGGAGGAGGCCCTCAGCGACCGTGTCGCGATTGGCCTTTGTTTTGCATCTGATTAGTCGTGAGGATAGCGCGAGTTTTCTGGACAATCGCAGAATGCAGAAGAGCAAAATCAGCGCACTCCCGGATTACATCCAACGCCCAATCAAATGTTGCTCTATATCTTTCCTTACCTGGCATTCCTTTTTCAGTTCACTGACTTCAGCAGTTAGCGCCTCTATGCGAGCCTCCATTCTACCACGATCCTGAGCAAGGGACGATCCTGTTGACAACAAACAGCACATCTCTTACTCAGTACCAATTAATCAGTGAAAAGGTAGGCTTTACTGCTCACGTTTCCAGTACCTTGTTGGGCAAGCTCCTCGCTCCATAGTTTTCTTTCAGTTCTCAGGCCTTCAATAACTGACAGTTGGGCTCGTATTTGAGCTGTCAACTTATCTTTGTCCTAAAAACAAACACCAAAATATCTACAATCTCAGACAAATTAAATGGAAGATTTGGCCACCTCACTGACCCATGATTGTCTCTATGAATGGCCAGGCTTTTAACTCATATATACATGAAAGGATTTCGTCTTGACCATGAGTCAGAAACAATCTTTAAAAAACAAAAGCTAACTCCACATTTAAATTACGAGCTTCGTTGCTGAAACAGTTAAGGGTCAACCTTTCGCTATACGAATTAAAATTGCTTTAAGAGCCCGTCAAGTATTCACACAATCAAGACAACCATTTTGCGTTTCAGTTTGTGGCAGAAATGTTCAAACAAAAAATAGCGTCTGCCCCATGTGTCTGATGTTGACACTTACCTGTTCTAGGGCTTCCAGTCTTGTCAACTGCTTATTAGTCTCCTTCAATTGTTCCTCTAAACTTTGTATTCTTTCCTACGAAACAAGACAACATCATTAACATAGCTTTACAGACAACTCCGTTGCACATACTTTTTTTCCCTTAGATTTGCCTTACAGTCAGATAAAACCGACTGGAGGTTAACTCTAGCCTTGGGCTTTTACACAAGAAATTCAACTTAGAAATTTTTTTTTATAAATTTAAATTCACATCTTTATAAGAGCAACCGGTCTTGATTAGGTTAGGACATTATGGTATAGGGAACACTGCAATAGCCCTGGGATGATAAATTTTCCCCAATGGGTACATCTGCATCGATAATTGCGGCCATACCTTGTACTCTACGACAACTTCTTGCCTCCCTCGCGACAGCTCACTAATTCTCCCACGTTGTTCTTTCACCATCTATTTACATATTAACAAATAAAAAGATCAGTGGTTGCCACAGGCAACAAAACTAAAAGACAAGCACAGAGAGCGTTTAAGACTGTTCATCCGCAAAGCGAACGAAGCGTGTCCAATTTTTGTCGTCCATCTCTCGAAGTACACCGAGCGCGTCCGACTCCCATCGACCGATCGCCGAAGAACATAAAGGGTTTTGAAAACATTCTTGCCACAAAAACAAAAAAAAAACACGAGTAATTAGAAAGATTTTGCAACCTTAGTTAAAACACGAAAACGTAACGTCGCTCATACAGGTCTTGGGACTGAAATATGAGCAGCTTCAGAAAACGTGTACACTATAAATAAAAGGAAAAGAGGAAGTATATACCGAATCGAAATATGGCGTCTAAGTTATGGACTCACTAGCCTCGTCTTCACGTGGAAACATAAAAGGATTATCACATGCGCGAGAATCCAGTGAGTCCAGAACGATGGCAGTTCAAATTGGGCGCCATATTTCGATTCGGCGTATGTCCCCAACAACCAGCTTAAATAATGACTTTTTAATAAGAACTTACCGCTGTAAGCTCATTGACCATATTAGTTGCTTTGCTCTCCTTCTGTTTTATCATGTGTAGAGCCTCTTTCTGTTGCGCACACTCATCACTCACTCGTTCAAATGCGTCTTGCAGCTATTTTGAACAGAGAAATGGAAAAGGAAATGGAATCAATCTTGTTACTAGGTCTCTCGCAAGTTTTTCTCCATTAAAAGTATTTCGGAACTGGGCAACAAGAGTAGAAATTGTAGATAGATTTCTAACCAAGTTTACTGAATTGGAGTGTGAACGCCAAATTTATCTCAGATTTCTTTCATTTTTCTCCTTATCCTTCAAGGAAACCGTTAAAAAGGCGAGATGGATATCTCCTAATCACGACATACGGAAGTACTTTGATAGTTTTCGAAGTTTAATTCTTGCTAGTTTTTGTTGTTGTTATTTAGACCTCACACGCATTCCCAGTAATCTACAAAGTGTCTATTAGCGTTACAAACCTCGCTGAACTTATTAGCTTCAATCTGTAGACCCATTCTGAACTCGTTCTCAAGTGCAGCATAATCCAGATCGCGTTTGTTCAACCTGTAATGGAGTGAAGACAGGAAGGTGTTGGATGTCTGTCTAGTGCGAAGGATTCGAACCGACAAGATTCGAGACTTGGATCCTCTGATTTAGCAGTTGCACACTCTACCAACTACGTTACAGGCAAGACAGACAAATGCTGAGGTTCATAAAGCGATAGACTTCCGGCACAATGCATTACATGTGCTCAGTAACCAGACAGAAAATAAAACTTCTTAACACAATTTCACCTCTTTTTTTCAATGCCATCCCAGCTACTCGCACAAGGGTACTCAGAAAATCAACCAAGAAAGCATTGCAGGTGGTTACTTAATCAAAGAGAAAGACTTGTGAAAAAGGGCGAGTCTCTGAAAAATCTAACGTAAATTGCTCATGTTCGTGATTTTCAATTCACTTTAATCTTTTTATCCTCGGCCATTAGATACTTCCCCTAGATTCCTTTCCGCATGGTTTGTGTCTTTACGTCAAACCCATGTAATCTTTTGTAGTCTCCGGCTTCTGGGTAACTAAAGTTGTACATGGCGCCGGAAAATATCCCGAAAACTTGTGTCGTGATAAGATAACGAGCTTTTATCAGCAGCGTTGTTATACTACAGACTGAGAACCTTAGTTCGCTTGGGTCGCCTTTTATTCACTAGTGGTCAGGACTATCAAAAGGCTACAGACCACGGTCACTTGTCGCCAGTTTCTTCCTTACTTGTCTTGATATTCTTTAATTATCTGCTGGTGAAGACCCTCTTGCTTGGCAGCCTCCCGGTCTACTATTTCCCGCATCTCCTTCCCGTCCACTCGCACCAGGCCTTCCACCGCCTTCCTGCCATCAAGGAATAGTGATCTCTAAGATTTGCGTGAAATTATCGGTTTAATCATTACACCATTTAAGACTCGTTGAGAACTATTTTCTCCTGACTGAGAATATGGTAAAATTAAAGAAAAAAAATGAAGGAAATCCAGAGGAAAACAACTTTGGTATATGTTACTGCAGGACTCTAATGTACTGTTATGATATAATTTGCCTCTTAACTAGTTTACCTGTGTTCCTGCTCTCTGTTGGCGAGGAGTTCCTGTAGTTGGTGGACCTGGCTTTTCAGTTGTTTCACTGAGTGTTTTGACAGTTCACACTCTTTTGTTAAGGCGCCTACTTTCATCTGCTCCTGCTGAAGTTGTGTGACCTTAAAAACAGCAGAACTATTAAAAGGACTTTGGTGAAACTCACCTTGTAGATGTTTAAACTCCTTTTGGTGAGTTTTACTAACCGATTGACATCGTTTTCCTGACATTTCTGATCTCTGAGGCCACATTTACATTAGCAAGCTCTCGGGAGCAATTCAACTTGACAGTAAAGCTCTTGGAATTGCACTGGTTTCCTTAACTATGGTTTGTGATTAGTCTAGATAAGTTGCACCACGCTTTCGGCAACCATTCAGACACTAAGCTGAAATCAGTCGCGGGTTGACAACCTGCGTTTTCCCGCGCTTCAGAAAGTTTACTCAGTGGCATTTGCTTCAAGTTCTGATTGGCTCCTTGTGATACTTCTCTGTTCTGATTGGTCGACGTGACTTTTTTGCTTTCGATTTTAAAACACTTAGTGGAAAAGCGCCGTAAAGCAAACCGGTTACGATGGCGCAAAAATTCTAAGGAAGGAAAGAAAAATGACAATAAAAATAAAAACTAAAACAGCAGCTTTGATCGAAGCCTATACAATAATTTGAAACGCAAACTAGGTCTTGTCTGATCACTACAACTCCCGGAAATTCATCATCTAAAAAAAAAAAAGAAGGAACTGACTGGAGTTAGAGTGGATAACGTACCGCTTCAGCATGTTGTTTAATCTTTTCAGTCTCCATCTTGGTAGTGGCTTGTTCCAGGGCTCGCAGTGCTTTTTGCTGTTCTTCTTCATTTTCCTTCAATCTCTTTACCTCTTCAGCTAGCTCGACATCATGGATCTAAAACAAAATTGTAAAAATCAGGAGCTTTTGTGCAACACGGAAAGCTTGAATGACTTTGGTCGTCCTCCATGGGACGAGCAATTAAAAAAAAGCTTCGCCTCACGGTCTGATTTTTTTTTTTTGTCTATTTACTCCTTTTCTTTTTCGCTTTATTTCACAAGCTGTAAATGAGCCAAAGGTCGGCACTCGAACTAATGCTCACACCTGTAATTCATTTAAAGATTTCTGTAAAGAATCCTTAGTTTCCTTCTCTTTGAGCAATGCACGCTTCAGGCGACTGCTCGCCGCAAGAGAAGCCTCTCTTAGTTTCTTCTCCTCTGCCTCTATAAAGTAGAAACACAAAAATACAAGAAAATTGGAAAAGATAGCCGGGGAACTCGATCGTGAGGTTCGTAACTGATATTGAAGATACAGGAAAAGGTTAAGCCCTTCGATAATCATTCTTACACACAAGTAACTCGGTTACCTATCACATTAGAGCAAACCGTAAAAGAAAAACAAGAGAACGAAAAAAAAATCGTTCCACTCTCTGTTGTGAAATCGGTATGGTTATGTGACCCGCACTTTTTGTAAGACAATTTCCCTGTGTTTTTAATTTTCCTGGACGATGGAGAAACAGACGTCCAGTTGACTTCAGATAATTTTTTAGGAGACATTCAAAAACAAATGTGCCGAGGTAGTGAGGCATTTAATACTGTTTCTCTGACTTGGAAAATTTCTCACTACTAGAAGTCTTCACAAGCCCGAAACTTTCAAATTGAAGGAAAACACATGTCAATTCTTTCTGATCCAAAAAGTAACAAGAAAAAGCACCCAAACCTCTCTGTTGAAGCTCTTTGATGGCTTCAACCATCCGCCTTGCAGCTTGTTCAGCTTTCCATCGTCGCTCGCGCTCAGAGTCCAGTTCTTGAATGAGTGACTGCCGAGTAAATTTCATAGGAAAATTCATTACTTGACAAGGGAATTCCGCATTAAATTGCATGCGAAAACCGATGTAGCAAGAATCGCGAAGCGATGAGTGCGATATCGGTTTTCAAGTGCAATTTAATGCGGAATTCACGAGTGAAGTAATGGATTTTCCTTCAATCGCATAACTGAATAAAAATGAGAAGAAAAAAAAAGGAAACAGCATCACTTAAAATTTTTATGTTTACGTTGATGCGAAACAATATCACTTAGCCTCGTGTTCAGCTCGCAATTCCACGCTAAGTACCTCGTTCGTTAACCAATCAGAATGTGAGATTTTATTCAATGATGCGATTCTACATTGGTGAATTCAACAAGGAAACTATAGTAGATTGAGGGGAGAAGTACTTATCAGATCTTTTTAGTCAGAGGCTCAAAGAACTGAAAAAAAAAAGACCAAGTCTAAAATTCACTGACCAGGAAAGTTTCGTCATCTTTTGGATCCCTAACAGGTCTTCCCTTCAATGCAGCCTTGCCTTTTATCGTAAAATTTCTCACTTGTTCATCCGATGGTGATGTGGAGCTTGTTGACTCCACAGCAACATGAACCGCTGGCTTGGTTCGTGTCTTTGTCTGCCCTGGCTTCTTTGAAACTGGAACCCGTTGAGTTCTTTTCGCTTTAGGTGAAAGTTGAAATTTTTTTCTTTTGTCAGGCTGTTCAGTTGATTCAAAATCTTCTGAAGGGCTATTATCTGAGAACAACGACGTCATGTTATGATACAATTGTACTCTTTCACATGAGACTTAATAGCGTGCTGGCCGGACCAACACTCAGGGTCTTAAAATAATTGAGAAGAATTTGCTACCTTTCTATAACATCAAGAAATGGTTAGATATTCTAGTCTTCTCGGATAGGGACGAATAAATGGAGGTCCCGTCTCCTGCAGGGTTGGGGTGGGAGACGTTAATTTCCTACACACGAGATTACTGTGTGATGGATGTCCTCCCCTGGGGTGGGATAGGTGGGAGGGTGGAGTAGCACGAATTGTTCCTATGTTCCTTTCTAGTCCTCCCCCACTGCAAAACTTAATGCAGTGAAAATGGACTAAATTAAATTGGTCTGTTTTTCTTTAGGGATAGAGGAATTTTTGGCTAAAGAGAATGGGATGAAAACAGATTGAAACGAGACATACCACCGAGACAGTGTCTCTCTCCTCCCCCATTCAAAAGAACATTTTACATTTGTTTCCCCCCTCAATAGGAAGAAAGTAGACTTCAAATATTTGTTTTATGTGTTTATCTGTGCATGTACACATCTAAACTGGTATTAGCGCATTTGCAAAACTGGCTGCCTGCCTCCTTAACATCTGAAGTTAAATAGCACCCTATCACCCTTTCTTTCTTCAATAATTCACAATTCACCTAATGTATGTGATGTGGTCAGGATAAGGGAATACAACCTTGTGTTATTTTGGCTGGTACCTAAGGACTTGAACACCACCAAAAATGAGGTACATTTTAAAGTTTAGACGAGATAAATGGTACCATCCTCCTGATTCAAACCTACCACGCTCTGCACTTGGCTTTCTAGTCTGCCTTGAAACCTGCACTCTTTCCTACAAAAAGAAAATCATCATTGATTTACACTCCATTAAACCATCCTTTTTTTTTTAAAAAAAATCTTACCACAATAGTAAGTTTGTTGACCTCTGTTAATTCTAATTTCCTTTCCAATACATGTACCATAAGTAATCCTTGCCTAAAAAAAAATAGTTCAGACTATTAAAATTCCCTAAGGGTTATGCACTCCAACAAGTCACAATGATGTAGGCCTCCACTCATTGTGACATAATCCTCCTTTCTTCTGACTGATCTTAAAATTAAAGTCCTTTGACAAATTCTGGAGATCCCCTTTAGATCTTTAACAGGACTGCACAAGCTATATCCACCAGAAACAGTAATTTCTACATTCTACAAAAACTTGGAGAGCATCTCCTTGTAGTGAAGGATCCCTCCAGGCCAACTAGATCATTTCAATGCCTTCAAGCTCCAGTAGTTGCTTAAAGATTGGACAACTCTATCCATTTCAGGCAGGAATCTCTCTCCAATGGAAATTGCAATAGATTTTGTTATCAATTTAGTTTTTTGTTAGCAATTTATCAGTTGGATACTGTTATCTGCCCTTCAAACAACCGAGCCCAGAATGGATATAGTAGCACGTGACTTACTGTGTTGTGAATCAGACGGTTGAGTTGATGTTCAAGAGTCTCTAAACGCACCTCATGATCAGCTGACAGGCTTACTTTAACAGCTCGCTTCTGCAAAACAAAGTAAAAACTAACAAAAAAAACAAAACAAAACAAAAAACAGGAAAGCAAGCGGATGACCCAGTGATGAGAGTGCTTCCCTCCTTCAGGTTTAGTCTGGGTATCATTCCTGCACCTGACACTCCAAATTATATCATTCCAATCTGGGAAATGGTGGCCAAATAACCACCCTGAGAAGCTGCCACAGCCTAAGTTCTTTTTTTTTTTTCTTATTATTATTATTTCAGTTGTCTATCTAGTCCTGGTTCTAGTTGTTCAAAGGATGGATAATGTTATCCAAGGGATGAATTGCCATCCACCAGAAAAGTGTCAACAAAACATACTGTGCTATCTGCTGGATACATATTTATCCAGTGGAAAGCATTATCCACCTTTTACCACCCATAGGATTTTAAGCATTAAGATGGTATCAAGTGTTATTTGTCTCTCAACAAAAACAATCCTTTTTTCATCTAAATTATACACAACTAAATTATACACAACTAAATTATACACATTAACCAAATTATACATAACTTGATTCATAAGTTTCACAAGTTTTATAAGTTTTATGAAGACATTTGATCCAGTCCCACCCATGATATCAATAGAAGGCTCCTCCATTTCCCTATTGCTCCTCTAAGTCTAGCATAGTATTCATATAAACTTTTGAATTCTCCATAAATTACTTCTGTTAGCCTTGTGTCTACCTCTATTGAAAATCTGCTATTTTAAAATTCCAAGGGTATGTAACTTAGTGCAAACCTCAGTAGGGTTCTCTGTTCTTTTCTCATCTCCAGCATCAGTCTCTGATGACAGAGGTCCTCGTTGCCTAAATCTGTCCAGTGCCGAGTCAATCTTTGGAGTCAAAACTTCATACTTCGTTTCTTTCTGAAAAATGAAAAATCTAAATGTACACAGCTCTCCAGGCTACAATGACACTACTTTTAAAGACAAAGTTAACCTGTACAATCTCAAGAAAATATTAACTATACTTTTACAAAATTTTAGAATTCACATACCATGGGGGTTTCAGAGGAACTTTCTGATTTTAAATATTCCAGGTAGTCATCCATTTCTGTAAATTGACATTAACAAAAAAATAGTTTTCTTTAAGAGAAAGTCCATCCCAAGAAAATCAGATCTAAAATATAACATTAATGAAAGGAAATATCCCTCTTTTAAGATGAAACAAGATTACTAAAGAGCACCACAAAAATATGGCATTTATCCAACAATTCTAAGGTAAATATTACAAACATCATTCATCTCAGTGCTATACACCATCGTTGTTCAACATGTATCACAAGCAAGACATTCATGATTCTTTCTTGCTAAAAAGGAGAGAAAGGGGCTTTCTGTTCATATTTGTGCAAATATAAACACCACTGCATCAGAAACACTACAAATTAAAAATAAACACTGCCTATTTAATCTTGTGATTATAGTAACTAACAAAAACAAAGAATTCAACCTGGAATATCAAACATGCGGTCTCTTGTTGCTGCTAGTTTCCCAGTCCTGTCCAGACCATCTAACACTTCCACATTTTTCAGTGAAGCCAGTACACTGGATCGATAATCTGGTATTTCACAAACAGGGTTGGCTTCCCCATACAGTGACAATGTCAACTCTTTCAATATTCTGCAGCCAGCAAGACAGTTAATAAAATGATCCAGTGAACTAAGCTGATTTCCATGGAGATATAAGGTTCTTAAGCTAAAGGAGGATCCATGAATTTTCTTGAGGCCTGAGAGATCATAGATCACATTGTAGGATAAATCCAGCTTGGCTAGATTCCTACAAGAAAACAAATTAATCAAAAATGTTTGAGATGTCAAACCCTCCCTTGCTCCCTTGTAAAACAAATTTCCCAAATCTGTGTTCTTTTGCCACTCCCATCAAAATATACTTTGGCACTAGTAATCTTTTAGTTTTTCCAAAATTTTGTAACAAATCAATTAATTTGCATTTCATTATCATAATGATGTCTAACTAAATATATGCTTTAGATTTTAAGCAATAAATAGAAAGAGAACGATCTCGAATAATAAACAGCAGAAGCTGCAAAGAGCGTGCCTTAAACTTGCAATATCCAGACTACAGAAATCCCCTCCTACCCCCAACCCTCTACAACATCTCAAAAAAAAAAAAAAAAAAAACCATGACCTTAAATTTTCTAATCCTTCTACTACTCGCAGTTCATTGCAGGATAAGTTGAGGGTTTTTAGACTCTTCAAACCACCAAGGCCTTGCATCCTTGTGATGCGATTGGACGACAGGTCAAGGCGTTTGAGGTGCTGCAGTTTTCCAAGGTTCTCTATCACAGAAATGTTGTTGCAGTGTAAATTTACGGAGAGTAATCGTGGATCTAGATTTAAGTCAAACAGACTGTTAATCTGTGCATCTATGTAACAGATTTCTTTTGAGAAAGAAGTTGACACAACATCGTAACCACCATCTTCGCTCCTGTCAGCTGCCATTTTGTCATTTCAGCTTGGTCTCAAAATAAGTGAAGTTGGAGTTTTGCTCGTAAATTGTGAGTTTTCGTTAAATCCATCGATAAATTTCACTCGTTCCATCTTAATTTACTTCCTTCACTTCAAAAAAATACCATTAATCATGATGCAGCGGCACTAAAAACACAAAAATTACGTCTCAATCGCTGCAAGTACCCTGTTTTCCCCCCTGTTTAATTAAGCATTGTTTTTCAAAATTGCGCCTTATGGAGTTGTCCGCTGTGCACTACCAACAACTACGTGGTATAACAGTCATGTGGTGGTAAGATTTGTCGTTTGCTCTTCCTAACGGCCCACCTTCAAACTTCAGGACGCCGAATGTTGGAGAAGGTTTGAATCAGTCATCATCGATTAGTTTTTAACATCAAGACCATTTGCATACTTACCACTCTCTTACAATTGTAACTGCACAACTAAAGCGTTTGGAAAAGGGGAAACGCAAGATACGGAAGTGTTATGTTTCAGAGCATTTTCGAGCACCTGTCCACTGAGTCAACGGAGAGTCAAAAGTTATTTGGAATTCTATTGGTTTTGCTTTACTGAGCAATATGACTGGTAGTCCAATGGTTTAGGAAATTTGTGCCCACCTACTCCTCCCCACCTCACCCCTACCTTCTTCACTCCTTTAAATCAATCAGTTGGCGAAGTAAACCACTTGGTGATTCGCGTTTACCCTTGCTTAGCAGTTTCCTTGTCTGTTTTACTTTTCGTTCTCATAAGCTGCTTGTGTTAGTATACTTTATACTGAGTGGCCATTGTGGCCACTACGGTTTTATTTTTAACCCGTTCTCTCCCAAGATTTCAATCACAATTCTCCATACTGTCTGCTTTACGATTCTCTTGATGTTGGTTTGGAGAATTCAGTTAAGGATATACCAAAAATCTCCTAATTGATATATTTTCTTGATTGTCATCACCTCTCTGCTTGATATTATATTGATACGGTGAGGAGAAATTCTGTCTTGGTCACCTGTATAAGTTGAAGGGTTGACTGCACTAAATCTAAGTGTATTCTTATTTTGATTGATAATTTTACTAAGTTTGTATTTTGAAAAGAAAAAGAAGCAACTTTTGAAAATAAACAAACCAAATTTTAGAAACCCATCCTGAATGACCTTGCGTAACTGGCCCTCACTGGCTGCAGTACCTTAAGAAAAGGATTACTTTCTTTTAAAGTAAACTTTCAATCTTTTTCACTCGTAGTCTTTTCAAATTACAACGATGTACCTGACTTTAAAGTAAACAAAAATTGTGAACCAGTTTTATTTCACCAGTAATGCCATTGCCTTGACACCCAGTAATTTGAGCTGGCGTCAGTTGTGAACAAATGATACATTAAGAGGCAGGAGGGTAATGGGCTCCTAATAGAGGATATTACATGGCCACGCAGAGGTACGAAATTTCTCTTTGAGTGTTGAAAAATAAACACCAATGAAAAACCAAACCTTTTCGCTTTTGTTGCAAAAGGCATGATTTAATAAGTAACCATAGTAACAGTTTTGCCTTTTCGCATGAAAGCTCACCTGGGATTTCATTGGTGTTTATATAATAAGATAAGTTATGAAAAACCACAACTAAAACATTTTTATCGTCATACATGAACTGGTCGGTTAGATGCAAATCAGATGCAAATAGGACTGTCTTCCACATGCGTCCTTACATGAATTGTTAAATTTTAAATTTTTCCTTTATCAACAACATCATACATTAGCAATTTGGTAGATATGATAGGTAGCTTTATTATAAATCTCATAGCAGCCTAATAAGGCTGAATTGCATGATTATTTACAATACCATACTGACTAAAATTATAAATTATATTTACAGAGCATATTATTTACAAGAATAATACACAGACCTATTGTCTACACCTGGCTGGTAAATATGTCTGGTAGAAACACTTGGTGCACATTATTTGGTTAACAAACTGATTTAAAGCAGATTTGGAATATCCAAAAAAATCATCAGCATCACATATCTACTTTGTTCTCAGAACATGCAGTTTCTTTGAGTTGACACTAGTCACCAGGATTCGGCCATCTGGCATTTCCGTTGCAAAGTTAACATTTCCTAATTTTGAGGTACTTTTGCCTAAAAAGCGACCATCAAGAGAAAACTTTTGCACCCGAGCATTGTTTCGGTCACAGACCAGAAGACAGTTGAACCTGTCAATATGCAAACCAAAAGGTGCCATAAACTGACCGTTAGCAGTTCCTTGACTTCCGAATTTGTACAAAAATTGCCCCGTAATATCAAATACTTTTATGCTATGATCTTCCATGTCAGATACGAAAAACTTGTCTTTGTAACGTACACAGCTCAGAGGATTTGAGAGTTCTTCCGGGCCGTTGTCTCCAAACGTAAAAATACTCTCACCATCCTTAGTTAGTACATGTATTTTCTTGTTACCAACATCAGTAACAACAATCTGCTCTTGATCATCCATAAAAAGTCCAAATGGTCGGTTAAACTGTCCTTTTCCTGAACCATGTTTTCCAAAACTTCTTATAAATGTTCCAGTTTGAGAACTAAATCGTTGTATTCTGTGGTTGTTTTGATCAGAGACCAAAATTTCATCATCATCAATAAAAATGACATCGGTTGGGAAGTTAAAATGACCATCATAGGTTCCTTCACAACCAATTTTCTGTAGAAAATCTCCTTGATTGTCAAATAAATAAACGCTGTGGTCAAACAAATCTGTCACCGCAATAGCTCCCTTCATATTTACCGTGATACCCATGGGAGCATGCAGTGTGTCACCGCGAAAAAGTTTCAGATCCAGTTCACCGTCTAACACAAGCTCACATTCTTTCACGAGCAAATTTACTGGACAAATGGGCAGTTTCTCACCATACATTTTCACTTCCAAATTGTAAGTTCCAGGTACTATGGGTATAAACTTTAATAGGAATGTTCCGTTTTCATTCTTGTTCACAGATGTTATAATTATTGAAACATCATCAGCAGACTCAACCAGAAACTCAATTTGTTCTGATTGTAAGTCACACATCTCCCCAGAAGATGTCTTTGGGCTCAGTAAAAGCTCTGCTTCTACACCAGCTCGCTTAGGTTGATCTATTCCTTGAAGCGTTGATTTCTTCGCATCTTCCTTTTCCGTCTGAATGGATCCTAGTATCAGGCCCGCCGTGGAGTCCGCAGTAAATCTCATATATACTGTGTTCTGATGCAAAGGAACTTCGGGATTAATCGCACGCAATTCTTCGAATCTCTGTTTCAAGGTACCTTTGTTTTGCATGACATCCGTGTTTGAGCTTCGTTTCACCATATTATCAGCGAAGCTGACTGCTTGGTTCATTTGCTTGAGTTGAGACAAAATCTCTTGTTTGGCGGAATTGATTTGCTCGAGTCTCTTCGCGCGCGTAGTCTCGATGGAAGTAATCGCTATCTCGATGGAAGTCTCGATGGAAGTATTTGCTATCTGTTTGAGTTCTAAGCCTTTCTTTTATGGTCTAACTCTTCGTTGTCTTGAGCTCCTCGCGCTCTTTGATGTATCATTGATTATAAGATGGAAAGCGCATATGATAAGTAGCTTACGTGTAATCTTACCCTCTCCCCTTCTGTTTCTTCTCGAGGGGAGGGTACGGTTAGGCGTCAACCTCGTTCCCCTGGGCCTTTTCCCGCCCCACCCTGGGAACGAGGTTGGTTACGCGTAGACTTAAAGGGAAAGTACGGTCTAGAAAAAGTTTACATATATCAAAAGTTCCTTGCTCACATTGTTCTAAATGGCTATTCATTTTAGCTAAAAGCGTTTTAATTGCGAACAATTACGTTCCAAAAATCGGCATTTTCAAATTGAAATCTGCCATCTTTGTAATGACGAAACTATGACGTACCATTTCACCTTTGTTGATATATTTAAATTATGACGTAGCTATAGTCAAGCATGCTAAATTACATCCCTGCTGAAGTATATGTAAACAAGGAAAACAGCGGAAAGGAGAGCGCTACTTATTAAATTCTCGACTTGGATTTTAATCTAGCCGAGAGAGTGTAATACATCCATTTATGTTTCAAACGAAATATGGCTCGTCTTACGGAGAACGAGAATAGGACACCAACTCAATTTGAAAGGCAAAGGCTTTTTCCTCAAACAAATCCAAGCTGTGGAGTGAAAGTTATTTTGCTAAAGAAGACCGCAGTACCCGCGACGGATTCATTTCACATTGATACCTCGGAATGAGACGAATCATTTTTGCAGTTACAGGAAGCCAGCTTCGGTGCATGACTGAACACAAGCCATTTGGAGCTAAAAACAGCCCCAGTTGACATGCAACAAGTTAGAAATGATAGACTTGAAGATCATTCTTAGTAAGTTAGTTGCAAAAATAAACGTAGACAAAATTCAGAAGTTAATTGTTTTGAATTAAATTTTGTTTGTTTCAGCATTTACCTTTAATTTGCAAAGGTGTTTTTATCTTTATTTCTTGGTGTTGTATTCATTTAGTGGAGATACACACTCTTCAATTGCTTACTATATTCTGTCTTTATTCATTGATCAAGTATCTTATAAGCTGGTACAATAGTCTTACTTAATAACAGTACTTTCACATCATTCAGTTATCTTACAGTAATATCACTAACATTAGTACAAGTACTTTTACTGTGTTCTCAATACATTACACTTAGAATTAGCTTCACCGCAGTATTTTTTATTCCAAAGTGTTTGAAATGTCGCGAC